AAGAAGAAGGGTGCTGCCTATCCCTCGACTATCAAGTTGTCTTAGTCGCCTCTTTCATAACCCACGGGAAAGAAGATTATAATTGGTATAATATAATATATAATTGGGCAAAATTTTTTTACAACAACACACCAATAACCATTTTTATCCTTTACTTTTTACGAAATATAATGGCTTATTTACGAAGCGATTTTAAGCAATACATTATTAACCCTTATCCGATTAGGTACTTTAAATACATTGTACATTTAATGTAGATGGTCCTTTACAGTATATAATTTAAATGAATATATTCGAAGACATTACAGATTTAAAATGCAGGGGCATAGCGGTTGCGGTGGTACCGGCTGGAGAGCCGGCGGCACTATTTAGTATTAGTATTGCATCCGTGCGAAGCCGGGGCGGGTCGATAGTTTATAGAGAAAAAAAATACAAATTTAAATACAAACAAAAACAAAACCACCTTCTCACATGTGTAATTAAAAAAAACATTTTAAAAACGTGTGTGAGTAGAATACTTTTTTGCACTTATCTCGCTGGCAGAAAATACACTTAACCGTAGCGTAAAAACCATTAGCCTTTTAGTCAATGAAAGTAAAAGTAGTAGAAGGTAAACATTTCTATAGGGGTTCCTTCAGGCGCGCAAACCGCATTCACGGGTACTATATCTATGGACGTGAGTCAGCCATTTCATTCAATCCACCTCTTATAAGTCTACTCGTAACACATGAAATCACCATCAAAATAGCCATGATGATATATGACCTACTACATAATGCAATGAAAATATTATGAAGACATGAAAACTCAAACACTAATCTTATTTCTATTAACTTCTCGTCAGTTTGTTCGACAATATTTAAGTTTATTATTAGAGACAAACTATGCAAAAACATTAATATGGGCTTCTTTATCTCATTTATGTTTTAACTGCCATTTAGTTTTATTTGCATTATAAACTTTAATGACTATATTATTTCTTTTTTATATATTCTTTTTTGCACTTTATTATTTAAACAACTTAGTTAGCAAGAGTGTGCATATCTCTGAAAGAGATCTCATGCAGCCAACCCAGTCCAGTATGAGAGAAAATGATTAGCGGGTAATCTAGTACAAGAAAGGTACAAAAAAAAGATACAAATAAAATAGACGTATACAAATTATTTATACATTTTATGTAATTTAGAATAAAACAAACAAGTCTACAGTCCATCTAATTTAAAGTGGTCCATCTAATTTAAACCATCGCCTATAGCGAATGAACAGTGTTATGGACATAACAGAGTATACTCTGTTGCCCATGGTACTCTTCATATGTTTTCATTCTTGAAGACTAATGATTAATTTAGGATTTTCCATACATACCATAGGGTTAAAATACATTATCCTGTTAGTATTCAGGTTGAAGTGGAGCGACTACATGAGCAGATGTGAGGATAGACATTAGAAGATTGCAGAGTGGATACGAAGAACTGGAATATAAAATTTATTATTATTTAGCAAACATTTCGTTTGGCCATTTGGAAAAGATAGATAAAAGAAGAAATACGAAAGAGATTTATCGAGTACGATTGAATAAAGATATTGGTAGGGGCCATCCCAGATGGATGTATGCACCAAATATAACCAAATAAGCGACATGCTGAAGAAGTGCTAAACTAAAAGTACTTGTAATTGGCGAGTACATACAAATAGATTGATGTATGTAGAAGAAAAAAAAAGAGGTCCGTTTGAATTGGAGCATTTGGCGTTCCATTGTTTCTGCCTACTCCAATAGATTACAAGTGTGATGGATATGTATTACAACTTAGAATTTTAATTCAAATACTGGTAAAACCACGAAATCAAATTTTACGTGCATTTACAAACGAATTAATTCCCAAATAGGCAACTTTTGGTAAAACAACAAATTCACACAGTGCCCCAGAAAAAAAGAGCTTTTTTTAGAAAAATACATGAGACAATAACTTCCAACTGTATAAAAGTTATACGAGAACAATCCGAAAAACAAACGTGAACATTGGAAACAATATCGCAAGTTATAAAAACTCTTAAAACGGTAGATAACTCCTAAAGCGAAATCAAGACTTGAATAGAAATCCGGGTATAAAATTGATACATACGTATTATTACATAGATGAATAATATTACTAACTTTATTACTAATGTTAAAGTGAGTTTTGTTACGTCTTAGCGCATTAACGGTTTAATCAATCACTATGAAATTTATATATGCACTTATTATATGGAATGAAGAAGGATATAGACTACTTTTTATTTCGATCAGGACAAAGCCTGGATATATAGATAGATAGTTACTCTTTGTTTCCTCCAAAAGATTACATTAGTGAACATTATAAATTACGAGACAAATCAATTATGAGAAAACATTACACAATATCTTTTACTCCCAATTCTTGATTATGCCGATATATGTTATTTGGATCTTACAGAAGATTAGCTTAACAAACTTGAGCGTCTTCAAAACGTTTTTATCAGGTTTAGTTTCGGTCTTAGAAAACATGAGCATATTTCACAGTTTCGCGCTAAGTTCAAATGGCTTCCTATTCGTTTTTACTGAAATACTTACATTCTTTCAGTGCTTTACAATATCCTTTTTAACCTCTTTCCCTCGGTTTAACTTTATACATTTCGTCGATACTTTTAATCTAAGGTCTTTTGAGGCCTGGTCACTGTGCAATTATTCATAAAGTACGGCTATGGAATAGTTACCAGTTTCTATGCGAAATATACCTACAAGCTCTGCCGAGTTTCAAAATAAAACTTAAAGATTTTTATCTGAGCAAGTTGACATCTTTTAAATTTTTTATTTGTTTAGTTAGTTATTTATTCAGATACCTAAAAAATTGTTACTTTCTGTTATATGTATACATATAGGTAGTACTTATATATTATTTTTATAAATGATTTTGAATGAATCTTTTGCATCTATAATAAGTTTACTAATGTAATCTTTTGGAGGAAACAATAAAGAGTATCTATCTATCTATTTACTGATTGACATTTGTTAAATAACTAGCCCTGCGATCCGTGATTTCATTTCATTTCATCATTCAGGATATGTTTACTGAGTGAAATAAAAAGCGTCTTATATCCTTTTCCAGCATATATAGTATGTATATACAAAATTCATAGTGATCGGTCTTGTTAAGGCGCTAAGATGTAACAAAACAAACTTACTTTCATATGTATAATATTTATAAGGATGCAGGTACAAAGACAAACAACAAAATTCGCATTCTTAGGTACTTACAAACTTCATGGAAAAAGCATTACTAAATAATAACAGGTTTCATATTTTTCCAGTCTGTGTGTCCCAAATCCCGCAGTTTCCATTGCAGGGGTCGAGGCTACAAATAAAATGGCATGACAGTTACGGCCAACAAAGATTACTGGGTTTAGTTGACCAAGAAATTCACGTAAACCGAGTAAGTACACCTAACGCCTCGAATTGCTTATTAGGTTACCTGCGCAGGGTACAATCAAAGTTATCAACAGCTTTTTAAATGAAATTGTATTATTACGAGTATTATTTTCTTCAAAGAAAATAATGGTGAGATATGGCAATGAAATTACTAAGTACAAAATTTAACATCTTAGTCCTCAAAAAGGGCAACACACGAAAAGTGGGATAGAAGGGATTGTAATGCGGATTACCTGTCCCATTGCTAACAATATACCCTATCACGTCGACCTCCACGTGGTCCTCCCTGGAAACCATCGTGATGAATACACCTGGAATTCAGCTGGGTTAACTAACTTCCCTTTCATTCTCATCTATCACCACTCACTGGCATCCCGCCAGCATATGCTGTTAGTGTAGGCGAGGTTACCATTTCAATTTTTTTAATGAATGTCATTAAAAAAAACCCATGAAAGATATAATCAGTATCACAGTATATTCTGTGAAAACAATAATTTTAATTTACGCAGTTATAGAATTAGTAAGAATTGCCCAAACATATTTGTTATTCACCCTGACATAGAAAGATTGTATTATTTACTCAATAAATTATCTTTAATTATTAATATATCATTAAGTGACATAATCTATAACGCTATACCATTTATGGTGCAGGAAAACCCGAATGCTAAAACCTCTATTTATCTTATCATATATCTTTTGCTTCAACCAATTTCATAACTCCTCTCATTCATACACACCAGTTCCAAAGGCCCTTAATTTCACCTTCAGTTAGTATAAAGTACTTAGATCTAATTAAAATCCGATATTTTCTGGCATTTAAAAACCTGGATTTAGCTTTCAGAATTACTTTGTATTCTGCAACACATAATTTGTAGCCTACTCATACATAAACCATATATATGTCTCCTTTGGAAGTTACACTTTAAATCTTGAGAAGATAAAAAACATCGACAATAAAGAACATTTTTAAAATTCTTATCACTAATAAGAATTAGCAGCGAACTCCAAAAATTTGGCCCAGCACAAAACATTACAGAAAAGTAGCACTGTTACAGGTTTTTCTGGCTAAAAAAGCCAATCTCTCGATAATAATAGTTCTTGCAAACATTGCATTGAAAATGTAACCTTCTAATGATACTTGAACTCGCAATATACTGTTAAGTGCATTTACAATCAGTCTTTTGAATGCCGGTCAATATCCGATAAAGGTCTAGCCGATGTTCAGCCTGATTCAATACAAAGTATTACCTACGACGCAGTTGGAATTTTAAAATATTTTTCTGTTAAGTCATTTGTTTCAAGCCTTATCACAACTTATCACGGAACAGCGTGTTTGACCCAATTTTTTATTTCATGAACAACGTTCACGCTTTTTACGTAATCTTGGATTATAATATTCTAATTTGTAAACAAAGCACCTTTATCAGAATATCTAACAACATCTGTAAGCACTTGTTACATATTAATGGACTTTATCTTAACAATCGTTTATCTGTCGGAATTGGTGTGAAGGTTCAAAATTATCAGTTAATTGTATTTGTATTGACCCAATAATCTTTTGTAATTTTCAGGTATAAATTGATGCTTATAGTTAAGGATGATGGCCAGTTACTATATCACCATGTACAAGTTATTGTTAGGAGTCGCCGTCTTCGGATTTGTCTGTGAGTACCACATTTTCTAAAATTTTTGTAACATTAGATATTCTTATGGCGTTGACTTCGTTCTTACGTCGCTACTACAATCTTACGTTCTACATTCTTACGTTCTACGCTATTTTCATTAATCCTATTCGGATATACTGTTATTTTATATATTATACAAAATATACTGAAAAAATTTATCTTATTTAATATCTTTTCATTTATTAGAATCTGAATATATATTTTCTTTGACCGTTTTATTCCATAATTATATTTAGTGCCTTCGCATGGAAATAGTTAATTTATTACTTTTATTTCGGATCTATATATTAGACTTTTCTCTATATGCATTAGCAGTATAAATCTAAATATTTTAAGCTTTCCTTAATTATTTAGATTGATCTAAATTGTTGACCTAACGTGAGATACTTCAAAATCTTCTCCAAGATCAATTTATCCTTTGATTTATTTTATGCAACTTAGAATGGCAAACAAGCTGACGGCCCACCTGATGGAAAGTGGTAACCCTCATCTATAGACATGAGTAGCACCATGGACACAACAGAGTATACTGTTTCACCCATGATACTTCCCATGTTTTGCCATTCCTGAGGATTTAGGTGTTATTTCTCTGTACCCTGTAATAACTTATATCACTTAATTGAAGTTGTTATATTACTGTTATATTGAATGATATAAAATTATATCTTATATATATTTAAAATCACAATTCGATCTTAACGCGACGCGTTTACAGTAAAATATATAACTGATTTGCCTACATATCTACGTTGATTATACCATGTAATCACAGCAGAACTGAAGTGAATGGCGTCTTCCAATTCCGATTTAGTTCCGATTTAATTTAGTTTAGATCAAGTCTTCTTTAATTTTTCAAGTATATTTAAATATTTTTTTATACAACTTAGAATGGCAAACAACCTGACGGTCCACCTGATGGTAAGTGTTAGCCGTCACCTATAAACATGAGCAGTACCATGGGCATAACAGAGTATACTGTTTCACCCGTAATACCCCCCATGCGTTGCCATTTCTAAGGACTCAGGTGTTATTCCTCTGTACCCTGTAAATTCACGCCATATTTCACCCTTCAAACCGAAACACAGCTGTGCAAACACAACTGCTTTACGGTTGAAACACGAATAGGAGAGAGGTACACAAGCAAACGACTTTTGTACAAAGTCTCCCTCTGGTAAAATATGTGTAAAAAAGGCTAAAGTTTAAATTTAACTATTTGTAAGTTTTCACTATTGCCATATGGTCCCGGCATAGAATGAATCGCCCTTTCCTTTCCCATAGATGTCATAAGAGGCGACTAAGGGAATTTTATGGTCTTGGGCAGCAGCGTTCTTCTTAAAATACCACTAAAGTGTAAAGCGGTGTTAAGTCCGCCAAATGTACATATTTATGAATGAATGAATTTTACTGTGCATTAAAGTTTAAATAAATAAATAAAGTCTAACTGCGGTTGCCAACCCGTCTGTCAAGCGTGGCAACTACTAGCAAATCTCCTCTTTATAGGGGAGGCCTATGTTCTGCAGTGGACAGTTGTTGGAAATGATATGGTACATGATAAGTTCTAAATTTTTTTTTTTACATTCAGCTTCAGCGCCAACACTGAAAAGTGCAGAAAATGTAAGGATAGTTGGTGGTGAAGATGTAGAAATATCTGAAGCACCGTATCAAGCCTCCATCCTGTACTTAGGCCGGCACTCTTGTGGTGGAGCGATCATATCTAAAAACATAATAGTGACAGCCGCACATTGCATGATGGCGTGAGTAGTTGTTTTTTTTTTACTATTTTTTAACGTAATATTCATTTCAGAAGTACGATAATTAATGAAATGGGACTATTTCTACCTGGCGTATCAAAATAAAACATATAACAGTTTTTAAATTAGACTTTCCGGATCAAAATAGTGAAAACTGCATTCAATCTGTTGCAGTAGTTTTCGCGTAATGCTGGAACAAACATTGTAACAGACAACATAAAAAATATTCTAAAAATTTTAGCTTCTATCGCTGCTTATTATTATTTTTTTCAAAATCATCCATGTAACGACATCCTCCAGTTAGAATCTTAAATATAAAATTCTCGTGTCACGGTGTTTGTTACCAAACTCCTCCGAAACGGCTTTACCGATTTTTATGAAATTTTGTGTGCATATTGGGTAGGTCTGAGAATCGGCCAACATCTATTTTTCATACCCCTCAATGGTAAGGGTGACCCTCACCAAAAATTTTTTTTTTTATTTTTTGACATATTTTTCCATTTTTATTTTATTATGATTTAGCATTGAAAAATACATACAAATTCAAATTTTCACGCTTTTACGGTCAACCCCTGTTTTTTAATCGTAATTTTTATATGCCGCAATAGGGTTGAAAGATGGCAATCGAATATAATAATTGAAGTACGATATTTTCATGTATAGTTCTAGAAATAATATATATGGTAAAACAACGTTTGCCGAGTCAGCTAGTTTTATTATAATAGAAAGATGATGAAGGTGATAAACAAAAATGCTTGATGATGATATTCTGATGACCTGATGGTAAACGGTGACGGACTAGGGATGCCACTAACACCAACAGTACAACGTGCATTAATAAATAAATATAAAAAAAATAAGCAATGAGTGATCTGCGTCGAGATTTTGCTTTCTTAAAAAAAGAAATACTGAGATTTCTTTAGGTTCGATAACGCGTACACAATGCTTCTAGTATTGCAAGTATTTATAGTCTAGGCAAGGTTTATAGGTGCTTACAATCATGTTTAGATTATATGCTTTGCTATGTCTTATATATAATTATAAAACCTTTTTTTTCGTCGTGATTAAAGCACTCACCGTATGGGCCCAGTGTAGAATGGGCTACCCTTTTCTTTCGCGTGGTAAGTTAAAAGTTGACTAAGGAAATTTAATAGTCTAGGCATGACTAGCAGCGTCCGTCTTTTAATATCATCAAAGCCTAACTGCGATTGCTAACGCTCCTGCCGAATATGGTAATTACTGGCAAAATCTTCCAGTAGGGAGAAATCTATGTTCAGCAGTGGACAGTTAGCGGTCGATAGTTGGGAGTTCTCAATTCGATTGTATTAGGGTTCCGTACAAAAGAGTTACAAAGAAACTCATATGTCGCGACTTGGTATTTTCCGTCCGTCAGTATAGAATAAGCCACCCCTTCCTTTCCCGTGAGTGTCGTAAGAGGCGACTAAAGGAGCTTGTAGTGGAGAGATTGGCAACAGTGTCTCTTTTAAAACATCACCAAAAGCCAAACTGCGGTTGCCAACACTCCTATTAAGCTTGGCAACTGCTGGCAAAACCTCTCTTACGTAGGAGGCTATGTTTAGCAGTGGACAGTTAACGGGCGATACGACAATAGTCTGAAATTAAATATTTACTTCATTTAATGATCACTTTTGTATAATTAGCGTTGTAAATTATATTGAAAGTTGCTTTCTAACTGGTGTTTTTCTGCAGCCAATTAACTAGATTCTTAGTTTATACAATTTTTTTCTTAACTCCCTCCGCCTTATTTATGTATAAACATTATTCAGTCTTTTATTTCTTATTCGATGAAAAGAAATCTTGTTTTTAATTTTCTCTATTTAAAAATTCTTTTTATTACATTTTTCTATTAAGTTTTTAAAATTTCAATGCTGGATTATTTCTTTATATAGCGAGCAATATTTGTTTTAAAATTATGTTGTTTCGTTTTATTTTTTTTATATTCTTTTATAAGATTTTTAAAAAACTTAATATTATTTATTTAAATTATTTGTGGGTTAAACAAGTTGTTTCACTTCTAATAGTAGAAGATTCAATCTCTGTACGTACAAATTCTGTTTAATAGTTTTTATTAATGAAAATGGAATCTTAACTACGCCTATGTTATTGGTATACGTGTTCTAACGGAGTAATAGTGAAAGATCATCATCATCATTCATCATTTTAGCCGTTAACTGTCCACTGCTGAACATCGGCCTCCCTGATAGACCGCCATAAGGAACTAGTGAGTTCAAATCATCGATATAAAAGTAAACGTCAGAAAATAAAAAATGTTGGCTTTATTACCCTCTTTATCTATATAAATGGCTTATTATGGATACGAATCCATAATAAGCCATTTATAGCTTCTCATTATAATCACCATGATCTGATGATTTGATGAACACCATATGTTCACATATCTCGATCCATAAAATGAGGATATTATTGTTTTTATCTGTTACTATCACTAGCCTGAGGGCTTGTAATAAAAAGTTATTTCAAGATTTCCTTTTCTTGTATTGATATATTATCAATTTCTGATCATCTTTATTACAATTGACTTTTTAACAATCACTTTTAAATCGTCACTTTTTTATGAATGTACATTTCGAAATTTTGTAATTATCTACAGTTTGTTTTTATTTTTTCCTCTTTTTTTCTAATAAAATAATTCTAATAAAATAACCAGAAACAATTGAAGTCGCTGTTTTCATGGCGAGAAAAGTCTATTTATACCCAAACTACGTGTTTTTTTTAATGATTGATAATAAAATGGTAACCCCGCCTGCGCTATCGGTATACACTGGCGGGACACCAGTAAGGGATGATAGATGAGTATGAAAGCAGGTCAGTTAGCCCATCGTGACAAATGCAACAAGTATTAATCAGGATGGTTTCCAGGGGGAACCGCGTGGAGGTCGATCTGACAGGGCTTGCTCGCAATGGGACCATTAGTCCCCATTACTAACAATCCCCACCCTAGGGGAGAAGGGATTGTTAGTAATGCGGATTATCAGTTCCATTGCTAATAATATACCCTAACAGGTCGACCTCCCCGTGGTCTATCCTGGAAACCATCGTGCTGAATTCCAAGTGTATTCATCACGATGGGCTAACTGACCTGCCTTTTCATCCTCACCTATCATCTATCACTGGTGCCCCGCCAACGTATACCGTTAGCGCAGGCGGAGTTACCATTCCATTATCATCCATTAAAAAAAAATCCCCCCCCCCCTCTAAACTACGTGTTACATTTTCGAATATAATCCTAATTTTGTTTACTGTTTCAATTAAATGTCTATTGATTAATATTATTACAACGAGACTTTATTAAGCAAATTATATTAATTAGAGCCTGTGTTGGTTCAGTCGTTTCAACAAATTAGAAACGAAATGGCGAATACTTCTGCGGTGCTAGTTGAATTAGAACCTACGGTGAGAACACAAAGGAATTAATTTCCTTGGAAGAAGCCTGGCGTAATATGTATAAAGATATAGTAACATACATATAGAACATCCATGTTCCTGACTTATAATGTAGCTTTCTATAGATGTTTGCTTTTTTACGTCAGTATTTTTTTAGTTTATTCTTTACATTAAACAGCCAAATCTTTCCTTTTTCATTATCATCATCATATCTGTTGTTACTGTCCATTGCTGAACATAGGCCTCCGCTAGAAGGGAGAGGGACAATAGTTGCCATATTTGGCAGAAGGATTAGCAACCGCAGGTAGGCTTTTAATGACGTTGCTGCCCCTCCCTCGACAATTACATTTCCTTAGTCACTTCTTATGATACCCACGGGAAAGAAAAGGGTGGCCTATTCTATGCCGCCACCACGCGGCATGGCACACCAGTGTTAATAGTAGAAAGATAATGGAAGAGAATATCTAATATTAAAATTAACTGTAATGCATCATAAGTTATATATTGGCTTTCAAATATTTAATTATTTATTTTTTACCTAAAATATTTACACAAAAAATCGATATTGTATGGGTGATCCTATTTGAATTAAAACAGGATTGAAGCCTATATATATGTTAAAAGAATTAAAATATTTCAGTTATATAAAAGTATTTTTATTTATTTATTCTTAAGCAGTATATTTGAGAACAATATTTAAAAAAATATTGGGTACAAAAGGCGGACTTAATGCTATATAGCATGCTCACTTTATCTTTATAAAGTTATATAGAGACTACAACATGGGGTTCTTCAAAAGGGGGGTAAAAAGGTTTCTTCAGGGTCGGCAACGTACGCGTAATACCTCTGGTATTGCAGGTGTTCATAGGCTACGGTAACCACTTACCATCAGGTGGGCCGTATGCTTGTTTGCACCTCAGTGGTATAAAAAAAAAACAATAAAACTTTGTACAAGTGGCGAACTTAATGCCATATGGCATTCTCTTACAGCTAACCATTAGGTAAAAACAGAAAGCGTATGAAGGGCAGATGTGGTGAAAAATATGTGACATAATTATAGCAACGTACTGAAATAATTATACATAATAATACATAAGAAATACACATATAATACATAAATACCACTTATAATACACTACTTATAAGTATTTTTTTTATATACGACTTAGAATGGCAAACAAGCTGATGGCCCACCTGATGGAAAGTGGTAACCGTCGCCTATAGACATGAGCAGTACCATGGACATAACAGTACACACACATACTGTTTCGCCCATGACACCCCCCATGCGCTGCCATTCCTGAGAATTCAGGTGTTATTCCTCTGTACCCTATAAATTCACGCCATATCTCACCCTACAAATCGAAACACAGCCATGCAAACACAACTGCTTCACGGTAGAAACACGAATAGGACAAAGGTACCCAAGCAATCGACTTTTGTACAAATTCTCCCTCTGGTATTATCTTCCTTTTTATTTTATTTCAGTCCAAACCCCTCCGATTATGAAGTTCGCGTTGGCTCATCTTCAAACACAAGAGGAGGAGATGTATATTCGGTCGGAGATTTTGTCTCGCACCCAGGTTTCAGCTACAAAGGGATGGACAGTGACATAGCACTGATCTGGCTATCAAGGCCTATCGTTTTTAATGAAAACGCATCCTCAATTGACCTGATGGAATCCGGCAAGGAGTTGGAAGACGGTGACATGGCTATAGTAACTGGCTGGGGGAATACCGTGGTAAATATCTTTTAACTTTTTTTTTCTAAAGAAATATATGTAAAAAAAATGTAATTTCTTAAGATTGGAAATATATATAAAGTTATACTTAATACATATATTAAGTATCAGCTTTTACTCGCGACTTCGTCCGCGTTACCGAGGTATAATCACTGACTGAACTATTTAAAGAAATACAAAAGTCGTCTACTTTAATACTTCTGTCTGACTCGTTCTTCCTTTTAGGGTTCCGTACCTCTAAAAAAAAAAAACCGAAAGTCTTATAGGATCACTTCGTTGTCCGTTCGTCCGTCTGTCAAGACCCTTTTTCTTAGGAACGCGTGTAGGTAGTTAAAATTAATATCATATACTCAGGTCCACAATCTCTTAAAGCAGCGAAAAAATTCAAGCTTCTTAAATTAACGCAATCGAAAATTACGGCCGTTTATGATATATTAATATCACATATTTTGACATACGCAAACCAAAATCAAAATCCTTTGCGAATATAGGATACTTCCTGTTGACCTAAACTCATGAAATTTCGCAAAAAGCAATGTCATGTAGCACAAGTAAAGGAAAAAATTCGAAAACCGTAAGTTTGTAGCAAAAAAATTAAACTTGATGATTTTGTACGGAATCCTCGTTGCGCAAGTCCGACTCGCTCTTGACCGGCTTTTTTTTATATCACCACCGTTTGTCATTACCGTTACTGAACGCCAGTAATATCATGGGAATTACGAAAAGGAAACAAACAAAACGTCTTTTTTAAAGAATCCCCTGCTGCAGTCTCTTGGAAAAACTTCGACAGGGAGTTGATTCCATAATCTAGGTTATGTTAATTTGTGCTTCGTGGAGAGAAACATCTCTGAAACCGCGCTGCACGTTTAAGCCGTAAAGCACCTGTATTTGCATGACTAGGCATATATAAAGCTCGCAAAGCGTGTCAACTATTAGCAAAACCCCCAAGGGAGAAGTCTCTATTCAGTAGTGGACAGGTATAATATGATGACCTATTTGATTGGGTCTTTCATCACCTATTTTATATATATATATCATGCGACAAAATTCCAAGCATATACCAGCTTATTTACTGATATTTCTTTTTCAATTTTTCATTTTTCATGTAAAGATGCTTGTACAATTTTAATTTTAATATATTTTGGCAACAGTTGGGCGAAACAATATACAATAGTAAACTGTATTATGTCCAAGTTACTGCTCATATTTATTTATTTATTCATTAGTACAAATATGAGTACTTGGCGGACTTAATGCTAAAAGCATTCTCTCCCGGTCAACCATAGGGAAGTGTCAGAATAATTATTGATATACATACATACTAAAATTACATATATAAACGAATAAATATATATGAATAACAAATATACTTACACATATATGACATATACTATATTATACACGAAATTAAAAATAATATAAAGCACTTACTGCTCGGATAAGGTAAAAAAGTGAGCGTGAACGTTTTTTTTGAAAGACGGCTTAGGATATCTATAGGCGACGCTTACCACTTTCCATCAGGTGGGCCGTCAGCTTGTTTGCCATTCTAAATTGCATAGAAAAAATCAAACCAAGTTTTCTAGCGGTTTCTTTTATTTCTATGACTTCTCACGCTTGATCATGTTACTAACCTATGTGTCGTATCTCTTAATAAATTAATCTAATCTAACGAAACACTGTTGCTATGTTTCTGTATCTATTTTATTATAAAAACAGAATTGTACATGCTCTGCGCACACGTCTGCAGATCTCGTTTAAACCGGTTTATGGTTTATTATATTTATTTTTCTTTTGTGTTGAGTCAATTTGCATATGTTTTTGTCATTTTTGTTAATATTGTTTGCAAAAATTATAGTACTTTATACAAGAATGATACTAACAGGCGCCAAGGATTACGTATAAACAAACTCAAGTCTATTTAAAACATTTATAGCATTAAGAAAACATTTGTATTTTGTTACAATTTTTATTAAATATAATATGGATATATGTATATGCTCAAATACACATTTAAATAGATTTCTTTACAAGCACTTTTAAATAGTCATTTTTATTGAATCCACTGCAGGGTTCGGATAGTTGTTATCTGTTGAGAAGAACCCGCAAGAATCTCAACAGTTAAACGTTAAATGTCTGTTAACACACAGACAGACACACACACACACACACACACACACACACACACACACACACACACACGCGCGCGCGCGCGCGCGCGCGCGCACACGCACACGCACACGCACACGCACACGCACACGCACACACACACACATGGAGCTATTAGATCCCATCACTCATAAACCGTTTCCCCCTCAGGGTTAATATTAGAGTCCAATTTGAGTTTTTAGTGTTTTATACTACTCTATTATGCTTTGTTTTCTAGTTTCCTTTTGCGATATCATCGAGATGAGAAAATAAAAATATAATACTCGTACAGTCAGCATCAATACAGTCGTACATCATATATAAGATACTGAATATTATTTTCAATATATTGACTTTGTACGATGTTCATCCAATCCTGATGCTGACTTTGTTTTTTTTTTTCCTTTTATTTATTTACTCTTTATTGCGCCACTTTACATATACATATATATACAATACATATCATATCACGGGTTTTCAAATTCTGAACATGTACATAAAAAATACTCTTTTATTACAGAGCTACAACTGCTATAATCTATTATTATATATACAATCTGTTATTAGTATAAATAAAATTTTGTGCTTTGTGCGTACTATGTCATCATAAGAAAGAGCTTAAAAAAAGAGTAAAATCAGTCTTATTTATCAACTTGTAAACTAATTAATAATAGGTAATGGGTAATATATAGTAATACCTATATATTGTAGTTACAATATCTATTTATTTGTTCAATAACAGACATAAAATATCGGTTAATCAATATATAATAGTGAAATTAATATTGATAGCAGTCTGGTATGGGCGATATCGAAATGGGGGATGATCTTATTCTTTGCTATCGATATCTAAAGAAACACAATATATACTCTGATATCTATATATTGGGTTTCTACTGATATTAATCATGTCTAGTTGATAAATATTGATCACGGTTCAACCATGAAGCTTGAATATCGTTACAATACCTTATATTTATTTATTAAATTCTTAAGATATCTTTATAACAAATATATTATATTATAAAAAAATATATTAAGTACGCCATTTTTCAAGGCCAGATATAATTGTGTACAACGCGATAAGCAATATTAACAAGATATTTTACATTCCAAGGTATAAACTTAATATTGAAAGGTTTTATATAATTCTAGGTAATGTTTACCCGAGTAGATATAATATTATATCTACGTATAAACGCTTGTTTTTTAAATTATCGTCACATCATTCTCTCGCGCCAATCTCGTTCATATAATAAATATGTAAATTTGTCACGATGGATGGATGTTTGTAACTCTTTTATGTAAAAACTATTAAATGGATTTGAATGAAAATTGGTGCACGACTAGATTTCATTCTAATTTAATACATAAGATACTTTATGTACTGATATACGTAAACGAAACCACGGTATGCAGCTAGTATGAAATAAATAAATCACATTATGTTTAAGCTTAACAATGTTTTTAAAAAATATATACATATTTAAGAAAAATCAAGAATTATATCTCTGGTTATTTGATTAGAGTTATTTTGTTTAATACCATTAGTATGTATGTGACTGCCAACACTCGAAGATTGACCACCACTATTACTACCAGGAGTTCTACAATCTTCCATATTAGCCATCAATCTCCGACTGCCATTTTGTTCACGCACGTTTTGCGACACGTCTTTCACTTCTAAATGAGGCATCTTTAGGCAAATTATTAGATCGCTGCTCGGGACCTAATGTTAATCGTTCGACATTCAAAATACATACTTTTTATATTATTTACCAGAGGGAGACTTTGTACAAAAGTCGATTGTTTGGGTACCTCTGTCCCATTTGTGTTTCTACCGTAAAGCAGTTGTATTTACATGGCTGTATTTCGAATAGAAGGGTGGGATATGGCGTGAATTTACAGGGTACAGAGGAATAACACCTGTGTCTTCAGGAATGGCAACGCATGGAGTGTATCATGGGCGAAACAGTATACTCTGTTATGTCCATGGTACTGCTCATGTGTATAGGCGACGGTTACCACTTTTCATCAGGTGGGTCGTTAGCTTGTTTGCCATTCTAAGTTGTATAAAAAAAATAATAATAAAAAAATTCTTTTGTCTTAAAAGTCAACCAATCATTATGAAATTGCTATTTACATATGTTTTTGGGTGGAAAAGGATCTAGGCTACATTTTATTTCGGTCAAGTCACAGGTAAAATAAATGTCTTCTCTTAATACACATGTAGAAAAAATCTTTTTATCTAAAGTACTTGATTGCAAGTGGGTAGAAGCGGGACATAACTAGTAAATAATAAAATCTTTTTTGTTAATAACTAGCAATCCGGCCCGGCTTTTCACATGTGGATAGAATTTTCAAAAATAATATTTAGCGTATTTTACTCGCTAATAATATTTCTTTCTACAAGTGAATGAATTATTAAAATCAATTGAGTAGTTTTTCAGTTTATCCATTACAAACAAATAAACGGTCAAATCTTTCCTCTAAATAATGTTAATATAGATTCGTAATAAATTTTATTTTAGGAAGGCGGTGGTAACCCGAAGATTTTGCAAAAAACGCAAGTCCCAAAGGTGAATGAACGAGATTGCTATCACGCCTACTCACCTGACTACACCATCACTTCTAGGATGCTGTGCGCTGGATATCCTGAGGGCGGGAAAGATGCTTGTCAGGTATTAACAATTAAATAGTTATCTGTAATTGTTTATATCTAGTATAATAGGTTTACTATTGTAATCTTTTGGAGGAAACAATAAAGAGTATCTAGTATGGAGATTTCACGCCGGCTGGTAGAAACCTCTGATGATCAGAAGGCTGGTCAGCGTAGAAATGCAGCAAGTATCCTAGGCATCCTACCAGCTGGCAGTGATCTCAAAGAAATTTTTTATCTTTAAATTTTTTTTTAAATTTTTTAATTACTTGTTCTTGATATTTATAGCACGTAAATGTTAATTCAATAAAGTATCTGTCTGTCTGTCTACTTAGGTAATTCTGTGAGACAGAGTTACCTCTCGTGAGTTTGTCCTTTAACAGCTGTGTTTGCATCGCTATATTTCGATTTTAAGAATGGAATTTATTCATACATATAAGTAGTTAACTGTTGAACATAGGTATCCTCCTTAAGGGGGATTTTGCCAGTAGTTTCCAAGCCTAACAGGCGGGTTGGCAATCGTAGTTAGGCTTTGCTAATGTTCTAAGAGAGATGCTGCTTTCTATTCCCTGATTATTAATAATTCCCTTAGTCGTTTCTCACGATAACCACGAGGATGGAAGGAGTGGCTTATTCAATGCCAGGACACATGATCGAAGAATGGGATATAGCAGTAACAGATACGGAAGTTTAACTCTATTCTCTTCAGGATTAGTATAAGTAATCATGAATCATGATTCTACTTTGGCTTTCTTTTATAATTTAAGTATTATAGGTGAGGGCTACCACTTTCCATCAGGTGGAGCGTTGATTTGATTACCATTCTAAAGGGCATATTTATTTTTAACAGAAACCGTATCGTTCTAAAGACCCATTAACATTATAAATATGTACGTCTGCAAAGAACTCCAGATTTCATTCATTTATGATTCATTTATGATTCATTTACGAGCCACGATCTTGATGGTAGAGCCCTTTAGCTCGAGAAGTTTAGATGTTTGTTACAAAATCACGCTTACGGCTGAACAGATTTGAATATTTAATATAAAAATGTATATTTGAATTGAATAAATAGTTATAATATTAAGATATAAATAATTAATATAACAGAAAATACCTAATTTAAGATTTTTTTTCAAAGAAAACATAGACTTCAATTAAACATGAGATAAAGAAAAATGTAACTTAATGAGAAACTTTACTTTTTAGGTTTAAAGCGTATTTTTTTATGCAACTTAGAATGGCAAACAAGTTGAAGGCCCTTCTGATGGAAAGTAGTAATGGTCGCCTATAGACATGAGTAGTACCATCGACATAACAGAGTATACTGTTTAGCCCATGATACGACCTATGCGTTGCCATTCTTGTGGACTAAGGTGTTATACCTCTGTGCCCAGTAAATTTACTGCCATATCCTAATAAAAATAGTGTACTTAAAAATATACTTAAAGCCCCAACGCAAAAAGTTGAATGTTATAAATTTGACGTGTCTATAATAGATATATCTGTGTGTATGTCTGTGGAATTGTAGCTTCTAGACGAATGGACCGATTACGATGCAATTTTTTTGTTTGAAAACTAACGAGATGGTTCTTAGCTAGTATTTATGAAGATCGAGACGTTTCAAGGTTATCAGCTCAGGGGTTACTTACAAATTTTTATTTTTATATTATTTAAGTAATTTAAAATACGAGAACATTGTGTTTTAGTAGTATAGTCAAGTCGAAACCTAAAGTGAGTTAAAATATGACTGATACAAAAAAAATATCTTTGTGTGTCAACAAAATTTTTATTTCACTTTCGGTAGTAGTACATACCTTTAACAAACTAGAATAATTCGGCAGAAGGGTGTTCTTTGCTATTTTGTATTCAAATATGCAAAATATGGGCATGCCTTTTATTTGGTATATTTATAGCAATGGAAGTCACGCTTAAACTGCTGAACAGATTTGAATGAAATTTGTTACACAGACTACATCATGCCCCATAGATTTGTACAAAGTTTAGTACATATCCCATAAGTTTATATATTGATACACGTAGACAAAGCTATTAGAAAATGCTAGTAGTCTATAAGTACTACCTCCTCAGGGGATGCCGTTGTAAGTATATATATTTTAAATCGATGATTTTTTTTGCAGGGTGACAGTGGCGGTCCATTAGTCCACGGCAATAAATTGGTGGGAGTCGTGTCATGGGGTCTAGGCTGTGCCAGACCTCAGTACCCTGGTGTTTACGCTAAAATATCAGCATTACGCACTTGGCTGGACGAACACATTGCATATTTGAGACTAAAACATGTATTAAGAGCTTTCCATTAAATAATTTCTTTATATGATTTTGCACTTTTTTAATTAAAGAAGTATAAACAAAATGGTGTGTTTAATATGAAATTTATATTAAATATATTAATCAAATTTATAGTAAATGTGTGTACATAACGCTTGTTTCCCATCGGAGTAGGCAAAAACAATATAACATCTAATGCCCTGATTCAGACTTCTTTCGCTTCCTCCACATTCATCAACAAATTCTCTTTAGGGTTCCGTACCAAAAAGAAATAAAGGAAACGTTATAAAAAAATAAAAATAAATAAAATATGACTTTGTCCGTCCGTCCATCTGTCCGTCTGTCACAGCGCTATTTCTCAGCAACTATTAATGCTGTCAATTTGAAGATTGAAAATGTTTTACATATATTACAATAGAAATCACTAAAGAAATATTTTTTTGTTAGGGTAACTGGAAGAAGTATTCAAAATTTCAAAAAAAAAATTATACTACTAATGTAGCATACAAGCATACTACAACTCATCTGAAAGTAAACGGTCACTGTAGCCTATGGACGCCTGCAACACTAGAGGTGTCACGTGCGCATTACACGCTCTGAATAAACCTTAATATACCTTTTTTAAAAAAACCCCCATACTGTAGTCTCTAAAGAAAATCTCGGCAGGGAGCTTATTCTACAGCCTAAGCGTTTACGGGAGAAAATCCCTTTGAAACCGCACTGTACGTGACCATTTAGATTCAAGTGTATGAGGATAAATTCCCTGTCGATGGCGAGCAGTGCGATGATAAAAGGTACCTATGGGCATCATTTCACCATTTTACCAGAGGGAGACTTTGTACAAAAGTCGATTGCTTGGGTACCTCTGTCCCATTCGTGTTTCAACCGTAAAGCAGCTGTTTGCATGGCTGTGTTTCGGTTTGAAGGGTGGGATATGGCGTGAATTTACTGGGTACGGAGGAATAACATCTGAGTCCTCAGGAATGGGAACGCATGGGGGGTATCATGGGCGAAACAGTATACTCTGTTATGTCCATGGTACTGCTCATGTCTATAGGCGACGGTTACCACTTTCCATCAGGTGGGCCGCCAGCTTGTTTGCCATTCTAAGTTGAATAAAAAAAAAAAAAAAAGAAAAAGAAAAAAAAAAAAATTTCAAACAATTCCTCAGAACAAAATCCGTTATACAAGCGGTAGAACATACATAGGGAGTCAAAATCTCGCCTTACACTTAAGAGCTCGATACTGCCTGTGAGCCTGGGATCTTCAATTATTCTCAAATGGGGCTAATAGTTCAAGTGGGATATCAATCAATAAAAGGCTTCATTTGTATATTTTACGACTGATTTTTATTATTATTAGGTATTACATTAAAAGATAGAGTAAGAAACAGTGTGATTAAAAAGAAGTGTGGACTGAATGACGATGTAGTGACAAAAATCGAAAAAGGAATGTTGCGTTGGTTTGGTCATTTGGAGAGGATGGATGAAAAAAGAATTACGAAAGAGATTTATCGAGCAAGAATGAATGGAGGTGTCGGTAGGGGCCGCCCTAGATGGACGTATGTTGACCAAATACGTGTACGTGCGACGTGCTGAAGAAGGGCCAAATTAAATGTGCCTGTAACCGACGAGCGTGTATGAAAAGATTGATGAATGTGGAAGAAGCGAAAGAGGTTTGTTTGAATCGAAGCATTTGGCGTTCCATTGTTTTTGCCTACCCTAATGGGAGACAGGCGTGACAGATATGTATGTATGTATGTATGTATGATTTTTATTTATTTTTATACTATGTAGCTTTCAACTTATTATCGAAAATGTGAGAAAAAATACCATCCATCCATAAGTAATTTAGCGGCGTTAACGGTATACGCTGGCGGGGTACTAATAAGGAATGATAAGGATATGAGGACGTGATAGATCAGTTAGCTTATCGTGACGAATTCTACAAAATTAACCACGAAGGTTTCAAAGGAAAGCCGCGTGGAAGTTAACCTGATATGGTATTTTGCTGGCAATGGGGCTGTTAGACCCCATTCCTAATAATCCCTTCCCGCTTATTATTCTGTTCATACAAGCTTACCGGTTGGGGGGAAAGAGATTGTTAGCAAAGGAGTTTGATAGCCCCATTGCTAGCAATATGACCTATTAGGTCGAGCTTCACGTGGTTTCTCCTGGAAACTATCGTGAACAATTCTTATTGATTTGTCACGATGGGCTAGTTCACTTGCTTCATCCTCATCTATCATCATTCACTGGTGCCCCGCCGGTGTATATTGATAGCGCGGGTGGGGTTACCATTCCATTATCACCCAATAAAAAAAAAAGCTCACCGGTTACTTTTAACTTGGCTCTTTTTAGTACGCCACTTATTCAGTCGACAAACGTCCTTCTAAAGTGGACCCTACCGATATTGCCACTTATTCGAGTTCGATAAATCTCTCTCTTAATTTTAGTTTCAATTGTCCCTTCCAAAAGACGAAATAAGCATCAATTGTCTTATCAATCTTTATTACTATAGTCGAAAAAACTCAAAAAATAAAAACATAAAACGTGATTACAAACATTTAAAAGGCCGGCAACGTATAAGGAACTTCTATCGTATTGCAGGTGTTCAGGGGCGACGGTAGTCGTTTTCCATCAGGTGGACCATCAGCTAGTTCGCCCTTCTATCAATAAAATGAAACCTTCTTTTTCAGTGTTGCCTAATAAAATCGTAGCTCTCTATTTAAAAAAAAAATTTAGTTGTAAACTGCACAGAAAATAACAACTGGTAAAACAATTGATCATTATATCTGAATACTTCACTAAATTTATAGTAAAGAAACCGAACTTTTAACTAGAAACTTGGAAGTTTGACGTCAGTATATCGAACTTTATGAAGTTAAATTACTTTCATTTTGTACTGATAGAAGTTAAAATTTTACACTATAACAAACTTAACATGATATTCGAAATCTATCTTTAATCATATAATGTTAATTATTAAAAAGTAAAACATTTATACAAGAACTAATTTTAATTTTAATAGAAAATTGTTTGTGTTTTTCCTATTTTATCTTCGAAAGCAACTATCAACTATTGTAATGATATGTATATATGACATACAATATTTATTATTATATATTTTTGTACACACACACACACACACGTACGCACGCACGCACGCACACACGCACGCGCGCTCGCACGCACGCACGCACGTACGCACGCGCGCTCGCACGCTCGCCCGCCACCCGCACGCTCGCACGCACGCACGGACGCACGCACGCACGCTCGCACGCACGCACGCACGCCCGCATGCACGCACGCACACTCGCACGCACGCACGCACGCTCGCACGCGCGCACGCACGCACGCGCGCACGCACGCGCGCTCGCACGCGCGAACACACGCACGCACGCACGCATGCACGCACGCACACTCGCACGCACGCACGCACGCACGCTCGCACACAGGAAGGAGGAGGAATTAGTAATGGGGACTAGTGGTACCAACAACTAGCAATATAATTATCTTGTCAGGTTCACCTCCAAGCGGTCCCCTCTAGAAACCGTCGTGGTTAATACTAAGTGAATGCATCAGGATGGGCTAACAGCTGAGTTTTCAATCTTCACCTATCACTCACTGGTCTTTTACTAGTTTTTGTGTTTTTATTGTAGTTTAGTTTAATGTTTTGCATTTCTGTCAATTTAATATTATATTTATTTAATGCTTGTGGTCATCTCATACGTACATCTCAATGAGACACAAGTCAAATTCTATTGTATCAAATTTCAGACAATTGTGTGAAAAATAATGTTATCGAGAGAAACCTAAACTAACCTATTATGATCAGACCGACTGTCATTATCGTCATTACATCAGCTGTTAATTGTCCACTGCTAAACATAGGCCTTTCTCTTGGAGGATTTTGCCAGTAGTTGCTATGCTTGGCAGGCGGATTGGCAACCACAGTCAGACATTAGTGATGTTTTAAGAGAGACACTGCTGCCCATCTCTCCCTAATAATTTCCTCTAGCTTTCGCCTCTTACGACCCACGGGAAAGGAGGGGATAGACTCTATTCTATCTGAAGAAGCAGTCAAGAGTTTACGTCACCATTATGCAAGCATGAGACAAGTTATGAAAGTAAAGGAATAAATGTATGTAAGAGTAGGTCTTTAGCGCACGGTTCTCTCTGCCTACCCTGCAAGGGAGTTGGTGTGAAGATAGATTGAAGTAACCAAGTCACCGTAATATTCTTGTATCCATGCTGGTTATCTTCTTTCTTCCTTGTTATTAATTAATAGCCAATAAATTATTATAGAATTATTTTGTATAAACTTCATTAATTGTAATATTCATTGATAAAATATAAATTAGCAAATATTCTTATCTTTATATATATAATTAGCAATAATTAACATTATATAAGTATAATTAAGATGTGCATTAATTTTCTTATCTATATAATTATTTACTATTATTATACTAATAAGGTCCATAGATCTGATCTCCGTCAATATCCTGAAATATCAATCAATCTCTATGCTATCTTTCGTATGTAATAGATTCTGTTTACTAAAATCTTCTGTATCTTTAGAAAAAGTAACTTTATAATATTTAACACAACACTTATTGAATAATAATCAAAAACATTTAGTGTTTTTTTTACAGAGGAATAATACCTGAGTCCTCAGGAATGGTAACGCATGGGAGGTATCATGGGCGAAACTGTATACTCTGTTATGTCCATGGTACTGCTCATGTCTATAGGCGACGGTTACCACTATCCATCAGGTGGGCCGTCAGCTTGTTTGCTATTCTGTTGTATAAAAAAAAAATACTTTGTACAAAAGTCGCTAGGGTACCTCTAACCCATTCGTGTTTCTACCGTGAAGCAGTTATATTGGCATGGCTGTTACCGTTTAAATAGTGGAATATGGCAATGAATTTAGAGGGTACAGAAGCGTAACACTTTAGTCATCAGGAATGGCATCGCATTGAGGGTTTCATGGGTTAAAGAGTATATTCAGTTATGTCTATGGTGTTGCTCATGTGTATAGGCGACGGCTATTATTTTCCATCAGGTGGGCCGTCAGCTTGTTCACCATTCTAAGTTGTATACAAAACTATTCTTTAATTTATAGACAATTTCGACGTTGTCACATTTATATAATTAATCAAACCTATATTGTATATACAAAACTGTACTAAGCTATTATATCTTAACTCTTTTATATAAATTCTTAAATTCTCGCCGCATTACTCTTAGTTAATGGCATATTACTATTCAATTACTAATTTATTTAGGAATAGAAGAGGCAAAATGCTGGTTCACCTTATACGACGTGACGATTTTTAAAGAGCATAGTAGAAGGAAAAATAGAAAGCAAAAGAGGAAGGGTAAAACCGAGGAATGACTACATGGGACAGACACTAGGTGTCATGTCGTATAGGGAGGTCAAGGATATGGCATGGGATAGAACTTGTTGGAAGAAAATGCATGAATTTTGTTGCACCGACAAGAGGAACCTTCAATGAAAAGAGAGACTAATTTATTTATTTCATCACCTGGGTTAGTTCTACAATCTCAATAACAAGTTAACTGTGTTTCGGTTTGAAGGGTGGGATATGGCAATGAATTTACAGGGTACAGAGGAATAACACCTGAGTCCTTAGGAATGACAACGCATGGAGGGTATCATGGCCGAAACAGTATACTCTGTTATGTCCATGGTACTGCTCATGTCTATAGGCGATGGTTACCACTTTCTATCAGGTTGGCTATTAGCTTGTTTGCCATTCTAAATTCCATAAAGTCTTAATACTCTTACTCAGGAAAGCATCTGTACAATAACACATATGCATAATTATAAGGAATAATATTAATAAAATTTGACTTACATAACAATATATACATATAGTAACAAACATATAGAGGGGGGAAAGGGATTGTTAGTAATGGAGACTGAAAATTCCATTGCTATTCCTGATGAATTCATCATGATGGGCTAACTGGTCTGTTTTCATCCCCATCTATCATCCTTCACTGGTGCTCCGCCAGCGTATCCCGTTCGCGCAGGCGGGGTTACCATACCATTTTCACCCGTCAAAAAAAAAAACAAACATATAAATATGCCTATTGCACTAATATTTGCATATTGCATGTCGCATCTTATCTGCATTATGAATTGCATTTTAAATGCAAAACTATTTTCTATAAATAAATGGTATTTAATTCATTCATTTAAATATTTGGCGTGTGATCAAATCTTATCTACCTATAGTTATTTTAATCTAGATCTATGTTTATACACATTATATTGCTAGCAGTACCACGAGCACAGTATATACTGTGACGATCATGGTATGGTATGGTGTCACTCCTGTTTATTAAGATAATATGTTATACTTGTGTATTAATTTTATTGTCACATTAAGCTGTGACAATGATTTTAAAGTTTGCTTAGAAGGACGTGTGCTAACGACTTTTGCTCAGTCTCTCTTTTTATTTACATTAGTCCCTATATTTAATTTTCATGCTAAACTATGTATTTTATTTTTATTTTTAAAACTCGTTTATTAACGTAAACTATATACATACGTAATAAGATTATATTATTTAATTTACTAATAATGTGGTTAAAAAAGATTAGGTAAATGAAGTAAAGAAATCTGAAAGAAGTCCTTCGTCAACAAAAATAAGTCACCGCCTCATATTTGCTTACAATTAATTGACGATTTACGACTTATTAGATATTTGCATAGGAAATTGTTGGAGATTAAATTGAATGTGTAAATGATAAACAATCAATGCCGCCAGATGACTTGTACCTATTAGTCAGTCATTAGCCAATAGAAGCTGTGAATAGACGTTTTGTACAATGTTCAAAGTAATAGCTCTAACCTTAATATACTTGACAGTTAATACAGATGGTGCAAAGATATTAGGATTCTTTCCAACACCGTCTATAAGTCACCAAGTAGTGTTCCGTGTTTTGATGCACGAACTCGCAAAACGTGGCCACGAAGTGTACGTTGTGACCACAGACCCGGCGTTCCCTAAAGGTAAAGCCCCGAAAAATCTAACTGAAATAGACATCCACGATATATCATATTTGAAATGGCGGGAAGCAGTCCTAAGTCCAGAAATGACGACGGGCAATAAAAACGATATGAAACAGCAAATCGCTGTTATGTACGCAATTATAATTAACCTGTTTGATGAACAAATCAACACAGATGCAGTGCAAAAATTGTTGAATGATAAATCATTGAAATTCGACTTGATATTTTTGGAGTCATTCGTTCGACCAGGCCTTATTCTCTCTGATTACTATAAGGCACCTATTATTCTTATAACTTCTTTCTTACCTATATATAATAACATGGAAGTTCTTGGGAGTCCTGTCCATCCAATACTTTACCCGTTGGGAGTTTGCCGCCAAAAAGTCAACAACCTTTCGGCATGGGAGAAAATAACCGAACTTTATAGCTATTATAATGTTTTAAATTATGTCGATTCTTATGATGATAGAGTGAATGCAATAATTAAGAAAAATTTCGGGCCAGATGCGCCCTCTGTTTACGAATTGCAAAACAATGTTGACATGTTGTTTGTGAATGTACACCCAATTTGGGACATGAACCGTCCCGCACCGCCGAACGTAATCTATTTGGGAGGATTGCACCGTAATCCAGAAAAGGATTTACCAAAGGTAAGTTAAATCAAATCCTGTAAAAATACGTAAAGGTTTTAATGTATGTAAGAAAAGGATTCCGTGTTCTTAATTCTATTTGTATATATCGGTGTAAATTTCACCAAAATATAGAATAATATTTACTAGGTTTATTTTAGTATTTTTTTTTTTGGTTAATATCTAAATTGAACTGAAAGTTTGTTAATCAGTTTTGCTTTGAATGAATATATACGCTATTTGTTTCATAATAAATAATATTGTTTATTAAAATGTCCAAATACAAAAAGAGCATATCTTTTAGTGTACCGATCTATATGGTATCGAGTTTGCTTTTTCCTGATCTTATGTAGTGGTATATTTCATTTATTATTATATTATTATTGTTATATTTCAAGCTGTAAATTCAATATTTTCTTACATTTATTACGTTATATTTAAAAAATGGCATTAAAAGTATTCATTAGTTGAGTAATATTATTATATGTATGTATAGTATAGTATATAGTATATATATAGTATAATATAGTAATATTATTATTATATATATATATGTATATTTTTTTACAAAATAAAAAATACTGACCTCAGTCGAAGGAAAGTCCGTTAATTTAATTTAGAAACCGAACTACAAAACCAATTTTGATGAAATTTGTATGAGATTAATTTGAAAGTATATTTTTTCAACTAGAAAATAGTTTTCCAAATTGGTTCATAAATGATGTAGGTCTGAAATGAGGAGATAAACTGAAAAAGAATGCAACCGAATTAAAAGCTTCTTTCTTTTTTGAAGTCAGTTAAAAAGTGTTATTACTGCTTTATTTCAGGATCTCAAGAACTTTTTGGATTCATCTGAACACGGCGTCATATACGTCAGTTTTGGCACAAATATTGATCCATCACTGTTGCCTCAAGAAAAAATTAAAATGCTTGCAAATGTACTCTCTCGTACACCTTACGATGTCATATGGAAATGGGATAAAGACGACTTTCCAAATCGGCCCAAAAATATCAAAATTTTCAAATGGTTACCGCAGTCGGATTTACTCAGTAAGTATTCAAGATGACTAAACTACTAATTTAAGATCAGTCGCTTTAAATAAGTGGTAATGGAATAGTAACCTCGCCTGCACTATCAGTTAACACTGGCTGGACACCAGTCAGGGATATAGGTGAAGATGAAAGCATGACCTGGTTTCATCCTCACTTGTATCCACGGGAAAGGAAGGGGGACCTATTCTATGCCGACTGGATACGAAGCCATAATATTATAGTTGGTAGAAATAGCAATGAATAGAGAGTACCGTGAGCATCAAGGCATAGTTTGTGATATACTGGTATAGTTTATGTCTTTGTTCCTCTTCATATCTATAGGAGAAGGTCACAGCTTTTTATTTATAAAACTATTAGTTTGTTCATTTTAAATATTATTACATAAAGATTTAAAACCATTTTCTAGCAATTTTATCTCATTTTAAGCATAAGTACTTAATCTATATTCTTATATCTATATATTGTGTTTATAGTATACTTAAAGTATTTTGATCCGATCTAGGTATTAGCATCATGTATAGCAAATTGTTATGTACGGTATACATCACTCGGTCTCTCTCACACACACACTCTTGACCCTAGGTATAGTATTCAGATATCAATCTGCTATCTATTTTAGAATATTATTTTATAAACACAAATTAATTGCATCATAAATCTTCACAGGTTATCTAAGTCTTGATAACTTTACAGGCTGTTCTCAACTTCAGATGCATTACCGGGATGCATATTTTGACTGGATTCAAAAGTATCTTTTGTTTTGTCTATATAAGGAATTCTGTATAAATCAAATATCAAAACTGTTGATTAATCAGTTAAAGTATCAAGTGATAAAAATAACTAAGAAATTTCTCTTATGTCTGGCACGACTACATCTGGCTCACTCTTTGATTGCAATGAAACAAGATATTGTTTTATAAATTATAACTTCCATATATACTCATATTTCTAACACATAAGTAAAATGTTGAAGGGTGGGATATGGCGTGAATTTACTGGGTACAGAGAAATAACACCTGAGTCCTCAGGAATGGCAACGCATGGGGGGTAACATGGGCAAAACAGTATACTCTGTTATGTCCATGGTACTGCTCATGTCTATAGGCGACGGTTACCACTTTCCATCAGATGGGCCGTCAGCTTGTTTGCAATTCTAAGTTGTATAAAAAAAAGGAAACATTTATTATTGTCAGAATGACAATAATAAATTTTGCATAAAAAAAAACGTACTGTATGAGGTAGAGAAGAAAACAGGCTACTGTTTATACTAGTTAGAGAACATGTTCAAGTCACGAGAAGTAGTCCGTGGTAAAAGCTCGTGTGACTGATATTTAGTTTTATTTTACAGGTCATCCGAAAGTACTATTGTTTGTAACGCAAGGAGGTCTACAATCAACCGATGAAGCCATAGCCGCTGGAGTACCGCTAATTGGTCTACCAATGCTTGTAGATCAGTGGTTTAATGTTGAACAGTATGAGCGTCTCAAAATAGGATTGGGGCTGCAAATGGAAGAGCTCACGGAGGAGAAATTCAAGAACGCTCTCGATACAGTTTTAAATGATAAAAGGTAGGTAAAATTACTTTTTATATTGGACAGAATCGAAATTATTAACCTTACTTTAGAAGAATATTCAGCCAGTTGAGTTGGATGATTGTCCTGAAGGAATATGGGTTGAAATAATTTAGAATTTTTTCCACAAAAAAAAACAGTCTTCAATTGTGATAAAATTTTGATATATGAACTAAATTAATAAACCGATTTTTGTAAAGTTTCTATGAGACTATATTATTATTACATATAATAATATTTATATATTTATTTATTCTGATTCGATACATATGACACGATTCAATTGATGGCTTAACAACTAGAGCATATTAAAACTTAAGATCAGACCAGAAAAATAAAAATACAGTAGTTATTCTGTGAAACAAATAACTGACGAAATGAATAAATACAGAATAATACAGTACAAAATGAAATGAAATGTATCTACTTTGTAACACCAACGCCAAGTAATGTGAGGGTAGTTTAGGCAACGAAAATGTTTTATGATTATGAACATATTTTATGTTTATCGTACCTACTCATAAAGATTCTGTTTTATATAATGTAAAGGTAATAATATAATATATTCATTAAAATATATTCAAATTTCATGACGATTGATTTACCCGTTAAAGCGCTAAAATGGAACAAGCAAAGTCACTTTTAGATATATTAGGTTTCAAAAACTGTGAAACATTATCAGTAATATTTTTCACAAGATGAAGTGAAATAAAAATAAGATACGTGGATAATTATTGTCAAGACCACTAGTCATTTAAATGCGCTCTATGTTGTCTAGTGTTGCCAGCTTTCGTAAATTAAGGTTATGGGATGACATGACTATCTCTCCTCTAAAGTACAAAAAGTGCCAATTATTTTATATCATCCAAATCTGAACATTTAATCTTCAGATGTATATTTCCATTCACAATTTAACACAATAAAATGCCCATATTCGTTGTTAAATTTAGTTAAAACCAACTAAATCCAATAAACAATAGACAAACCTTCATCTATGGGCTCAGCCAGACAATATGGTAGTCTAATTGGAATAGTAACTAAGTAAATTACCATTATTATAATAAGTTCGTGTTGGGACTGTGTAATAACTGAACGTTATATGTTCATAAGTATCTTTATATACATGTTAGCTACCTAACATGTATATAAAGGTACTTATGTACGTGACTAGGTAGACTGGATGATGTTACTCAAACTCCTAAAAAATGCAAAATTATTTTAGTTAATTTTAGACTTTCGCTTTGTTTACACATATTTTAAGGCTTTGCATAAGGAAGCAGGTATGTGAGTGTTATTTACCTGTAAAAGTTTTTTTTGTTAAGTCTCGATTGTGTATTTTACAACACTATTATTTTTATTTCAAATAATTGTATAAAACAGTACGCGCCATATAATACAATAAAACAATACAATATTAAAAAGTAGGGCGAGAAAAAATTTCCCGCGTTATACATTAGTACCAACTTAATAACTGAAAATTTTTGACTAGTGTTGTCAACACTTATTGTCCTCTACTGCCACCTATAGGGTTCATTTTTACAAGCTTTTGTTTATTTTACAATGTATGTTTGGTAGTTTGTTTATTTAGGTCAAATCTTAAAAGCTGAATTAGTACTACTTCTTGATATCCGATTCGACTGAAAATTTGTATACAACCTTAATTCTGGTGACAATTTGTAATAATATGTCATACTCATTATTTTAACAGTTTTAAAATGGCCGCCGTCACAAGATGGTGGATCATATATTTCTAACCTGGTAACATTGGTATTAAGGTAGAGCTTGAATAGTAGAAAACAATAAAGTTAGTAGTTAGTACACTATATTTAATTTAACTGCCACCCTAAGATAGCGGATTACATTACAAAAGCTTGTTATTAGAAGTGTATTTTAACAGATTTGTTTTGTTTTTTTTTTTCATAGCTATCGCAATAATATAATAAAGCTTCGTACATTGATGGCCGATCAGCCCCAGACTCCACTACAGCGTGCCGTATGGTGGACGGAACACGTGCTACGCCATGGTAGCGGGAAACACCTTCGGTCTCCAGCCGCCAACATGTCATGGAAAGAATACCTGGAATTAGAACTCGTTGGATATGTACTATTAACTATATTGACTCTAATAATTATCTCGGTATTTATATTTGTTTATTTATATAAATTTATCACAGTTAGTCATATTTCAGATGAACATTTAAAGAAAATCAATTAAAAATAGTTTAAATCAAATTAAAAATATATGAATGTAGTATCATTGTTTTTTTTTAATCATAAAAATGAATTACACATTTCATTAAGTGTCAACAAATTCCAGCGTCTATAGAATTAAAAATATATACCTAAATCACAAAATTCAATTTATATAATTAAATGAATAAATTAACAAAAATAATTTTTAATAATTATTTTTGTTAATTTATTAGTTTAGTTTGAACTAATATTAGTTTGATCGAATAATATGAAGAATTTATTAAAATTTTATAATATATATTTAAATATAAGATTATATATATATATAAATATATAAATATTTACAAACTAAACAAGGCAGTTATGATTATTAGAATTACATAACTGCCTTTATGACATGCTATATACCTGTGAGAATTATTTCTATATAATTGTACAGTAATAAACTGTTCAAGTTATAATTATTATTACAACTTGAACACTTTATTACTGTGTATACAATAACAGGTAATTAATGGTAATATTATTATGATTTTAATCGGTAATTGGTTTTGTAATCACTACATAGTATAAAACAAAGTCGCTGTCGCTGTCTGTCCGTCCCTGCGTACGCTTAAATCTTTAAAACTACACAACGGATTTTGAAGTAGTTTTTTTAATAGATAGATTCAAGAGGAAGGTTTATATGTATAATACATGCATAATATTGTAGAGAAACACTAATAAATTTAGGGGTTTCTAATGTGATGTCGCTTACATTGCGAACGCTGGCTGAAACCCACGAGATAAATCAAAATAATGTACTACAGTATTATACACCTTAACAAGGTCAACAAAAAAGTCTGCGTATCCTTAAATAGACATATACCATATATGTCTATCTCTTAAGGATAACTTACAATAACCATTTTTTATCCTTTACATTTTACGAGAAAAAATGGTTTATATACAAAGTGATTTTAAGTAATACAGCATTAATTTTTATCCAACTAAGTACCTTAAATACATTGTTCATTTATTATAGATAAATATGGCCTTTTACAGCATGTAATTTATATGAATATTTCCGAAGATATTACAGATTTAAAATGCAACATAGCGATGCGGCATTGCACCCGTGCGAAGCCGAGGCAGGTCGCTAGTATTAGATGTAACAGAACAAATCGACAGCTGACTAAAAGTGATAATCGTCACTAGGACGTCACAGCATCATGGACTTCTTAAAATTGTAATATATATATATATATATATATATATATATATATATATATATATATATATATATATATATATATATATATATATATATAGTATAGTACTATTACCCATATATAGGCATCAATGAATGTCATGAATTGTCATAATAAGACTTATAGAGAGCCGAAACAATCAATATTAGAAATTTTATCTATCTGACTGTCTGTATGTTTGTTCTAATATCACGTAAAAGTTACTGCACTTAATTAGATTTTTAACACGAAAGTCGAAATTATCGATTGAAAAAAGAATTATCGAAGTGGATGCAGAGTTTGCAATGATACCGATATTATGGCGTAACATCAACACCAAAAATACAAGCAAATTGAGATACTGACCCTTCGTTTTTGAAAGTGATTAAAAAAAATATATTCATGTTCTATTTTTTGTTTTTATTTAATAAACCAAAGGTTGTCTGTAAGAGATTGCCCTAGCGATAAGACCGCCTTTTGTACTTTTGTGTATATGTATTTTAATCTGTACTTAAATTTATGCTACTGTATTTCACTGGAGTTGTTTATATGTCATTGTTTATTTTTATGTTTCTGGTGCAATAAAGAGTTAAATAAATGAATCATATATGAAAAAAATTTCACAGCACTAATTCTTTTAAACGTTATTAACTTGTAAATAGCAATACAAGTAACAGAGTTAGTAGCTGAAACTATAAAAGAAAAATGCCAAATAAATCTTGTTTCAATAGAACATTAAATAGGCAATCAAATATTGTTGAAATTCAACTGTTGAGAGTCAACTCTTACTGATCAAAGTGTAGTATTTATTATTTTGAGTTTAATATCTGAAAGTTCCCTCACTGAAGGATATACTACATATATATATATATATATATATATATATATATATATATATATATATATATATATATATATATATATATATATATATATATATATATATAATGGATATTAAATTGATTTTTGTAAACCGAAGGAATGTTCAAGGCTAGCTCCAATCCTGCCACTAGTCGGCCCGGCATTGCATTGTTAAATTAATCAAAACATAGTTAAATTAGTCAAATATATTATTAAGCTGACTTTCGATTTGTTTTGTTATTGGATATAAGCGGATATAAGAATGAAACAATTATTTGTTTACGTTTTCATTAACTTCTATTAAAAAACACTATAAATTACCATAAAAAATCATAGAAACCTATTACAATTCTCTAATGTATAGGACTTGCACTGTAGTTGTTATAATGATGAAAATAAAAATAGCAACCCATCAATGGCCCGTGTAATCCCGGGATAAAATAGGCCACCCCATCCTTTTCCCGTGGGTATCGTAAGAGCCAACTGAGGGAGTGCGAGGGATGGGCAGCAGCGTCCTTCTTAAAACATCTCTGAAAACCTAATTGCGGTTGTCAATCCGCCTGCTAAGCGTGGCAACTACTGGCAAAACCCGCCAAAGGGGAGGCTTATGTTCAGCAGTGGACAGTTAAAGGCTGATTTAATGATGATATGATACATGCGTACATACATACATATCTGTCACGCCTGTCTCCCATTAGGGTAGGCAGAAACAATGGAACGCCAAATGCTTCGATTCAAACAAACTTATTTCGCTTCTTCCACGTTCATCAATCTTTTCATACACGCTCGCCGGATACCGGTACTTTTAATTTGATCCTTCTTCAGCAAATAGGCGACATGCCTATTTGGTCGACATACATTCGTCTAGGGCGGCCCCTACCGACATCTCCATTCATTCTTACTCGATAAATCTCTTTCGTAATTCTTTTTTCATCCATCCTCTCCAAATGGCCAAACCAACGCAACGATGATATGATGTACCCATCAATATCAATACATTTCTATAAGAATGACCTTCTTGCATTAGCCTTGAAGTTATCCGTGCAAACGTTTATTAAGAGTGACAATAAATATTATTTCCGCAATAGATAATGCACCGCCTGCATTTATAATTATTACGCACCTATTATGATGTAATTGCTATAAATATTATGTTTTGTATAAAATAAACACATTATAACAAGTGCGTTTTATAAAACAACATTCATGTTAAATAATCATAAATAATATTCATACAAATATTATGAATGTGAAAGTGAGTTTATTTATTGCCTTATAGCGCCTTAACGACTTAATCAATCACTATGAAATTTGATGTGCATGTAGTGTATGGGATGGAGAAGGATATAAGGTTACTTTTTACCCGGGTCAGTAAAGATATCCGGCCACGCGGACGAAGTCGCGGGTAAATGGTAGTAATAAATCAATAAATAAATACCGCCGGACCTATTGCAGACTAATATATATATATATATATATATATATATATATATATATATATATATATATATATATATATATATATATATATGTATTATAAATGTAAATATTTACTATAAAATTCTATATATAGATAAATCTTAGGTTTACCTAGTAAGTCTCAGGATTTATCAACGTCGGTAAATGTAAGATTTTTATATAAAAAAAATTCTCTCGAGCTTTCGTCAAACCAAACTTAATCTAACCTACCTTTCTGAGCGCAAGTACAAAAAATATTGTATAATAAGTAAAATATATTTTATTCTTGAAATAAAATATTTTTTGAATGACACTTAGAATGGCAAACAAGCTGACGGCCCACCTGATGGAATGTGATAGCCGTCGCTTATAGACATGAAGATAATAATTTAATATTGTATTCCATAAAAAAAAACATTATTATTATTATTATTAAATAATAAAACATATAAAAAAAAAACAAATTTAATTGTAGCAAAACTAGTTATTTTTATTTCAAAACTAAGCTACTGAACCGATTTTGATAAAGTTTCTATAAATTTGTAAGCGTATCCAAAAGCAAAAATCCAAATCCGTTTACAACCGACGAAGTTATGAGATAACAAATAAAAAAGAATACAGCCGAATTGAAAATCTTCTTTTTGAAGTTGGTTGAAAAAAAGATTTATAAATGACCACATTAGTTTATAACTACCGGAGTTTTTTTTATGGGTGATAATGGAATGGTAATTGGTAACCTCATCCGCGCTATCGGTATACACCGGCGGGGCACCAGTGAAGGATGATAGGTGAGGATGAAGCAGGTCAGTTAGCCCATCGTGACGAACTCAACAAAAATTGTTCACGATGGTTTCCAGGGGGAACCACGTAGAGGTCGACCCCCCCTCCCAACTACCGGAGTTAGGAGGTAATAAACATAAAACAAAATACAAACGAATTGAGGTCCTCTCTCTTTTTGAAGTCATTTGATAACAGCAATAGAATCAATGTCGACGAGAATGAACTTGCAGAGGCTGGATATAAATAGAAACTAGGTGACAGTATAATTAGTCCATTGAAATGCCAATCCAATGTCATCTGTATGAAACGGGGATCATTCTTAGACAATATTAATAGTAATATAGTACCTAGACTTACATTTATACTGTTTTATTTATGACTAGCGACCTATCCCGATTTTGCAAGGGCAGATAGGTGATTTCTATTTTTTTTTTCGTAAAATCATCATCATCATATCAGTCGTTAAATGTCCACTGCTGAACATAGTCTCCCCCTATTAGGTTTTGCCAGTAGTTGCCATTCTTGGCAGGCTGGTTTTTTTTTTATGGGTAAAAATTGTATGGTAACCCCGCCTGCGCTAACGGGATACGCTGGCGAAGCACCAATGAAGGGTTATAAATGAGAATGAAAACAGGCCAGTTAGCCCATCATGATGAATTCATCAGGAATTAACCATGATAGTTTCCAGGGAGAACCGCGAGGGGGTCGACCTGGTTGGGTTGCTAGCAATGGGATTCTCAGTCTTTATTACTAACAATTCTTTCCCCCCTGGCAGGCTGGTTGGCAACCACACCTATGGGAAGGGAAGGGATGGCCCTTTCTATACCGAGACCACACGGAAATGTTTAGCAATATCTTTTTTTCCTCATTTAAAAGTTTCCTCTTGTCGGTGCAACTAATTCATGCATCTTCTTCCAGCCAGCTCTATCCCAGGCCATATCTTTGACCTCCCTATACGACATGACACCTAGTGTTTCTTTTATATGTTTTATGTAGTTATTCCTCGGTCTTCTCTCTTCAGCTCTTACCACATCTACGGGAAAGGATGTGCTAAATTTAATATTCCTATGAAATGTTAGTTACTTAAATAATTATTGACTTTAATTATATATGTATACCTTCTATCACTTGTTAGTGAAAGATTAACTATATGAATAGTTCTTGTTATGTATGTTATATTGAATTATACTTGTAAAATAGACGTTAGATAAGCTAGATCGTAGCTATTAGTTAGTCATAAGATAATTCAAGTCGTGTACAGACGTTTTATATAATGAATAGAATAATAGTGTTAGCACTCGTATATCTAGCTGTTAATACAGAATCTGCCAAGATACTAGGTTACTTCCCAACTCCGTCTATAAGTCACCAAATAGTGTTTCGACCGTTGATGCACGAATTAGCGAGACGTGGACACGAAGTGTTTGTTATTACAACAGACCCAGCGTTTACTAAAGAGAATCCTCTTGGAAACTTAACAGAAATAGACGTCCGGGACGTATCGTATTCAAAATGGATAAACGCAATATTAAATGCGGGAATTACGACCGGCAAGAAGGAAGACGTGGCAAAACAAATAACAACCATGTATCGTATATGCTTAGGTTTGTTTGACGAGCAAATAAACACGGTTGCATTACAAAATGTTTTACGCGATAAAACATTAAAATTCGATTTGATAATCTTAGAGTCCTACTTCAGGCCAGGGATGGTGCTATCACATTATTACAAGGCGCCTCTCATTCTTATAAGTTCTATGTTGCCAATATACAATAACATGGAAGTTATTGGCAGCCCTATTCATCCGTTCCTTTATCCGATGGGGTTTTGTCGACAGAGAGTCAACAATCTCACAATATGGGAGAAAATATCTGAACTATACATGTACTATAGCATAGTGGCCACAATTTACTTCGATAGTGAAGCTATGAATAAAATGATAAGAAAGAATTTCGGTTCAGATGTTCCTAGTATTGATGAATTGCAGAATAATGTGGATATGTTATTTATTAATGTGCATCCAATATGGGATATGAACAGGCCTGTTCCACCCAGCACAATATATTTGGGAGGACTGCATCGCAATCCTGAGAAAGACTTGCCACAGGTAAGACTATTAAAATTCAATTTTCATTTTAGAAATTTCATAATTATGTTATTCTTTGTAACGGTAAAGAATATTTTGTATCTAATTATTAAATTGATAATCCTTTTTTTATATCATGACGATGGCAAATAAACACACAGCCTGGGATATCACTTGCCCCTTGTCGAATTTAGGATAATGAATACGAATTTTGTACTTATATTAAAAAACAAGTATTTTACAAGCACAAATATTTTACAAACATTTTGAGTTATAATCTGATAAGAAAGCTTAATATTACATACCAAAGTTTAACAAAACTTAACTCTTAATCTCTGATACGACTTTACTTATAAATTTTTATCTCCGCCAGCTGTAAAAAATAGCGGTAAACAAAATATTTCTTAGCATAAAAACTCAGAGATTCTTACTGTCTTTTTTAGAACAAAGATCCTGCTTAGGGACAGATAAATTACACTGGTCAACAAAATTTAAACTTTTTTTTGTCACAGGAAACTTATACCAAATTTTAAATATACTATGATCACCGAATAATAATATAACAATAGAAAAAATTTTACACATCAGGTTTCTTTGTGATATCAAGACATATATTTTTATAAAAAGTACAAAAATTACAAACACTTAGAATAAATATTCCTTAATGTACAATAAATAGCTATGGTTTTCGTGAATGTTTGACTTCTGGTAGGTCCCTTTTATGTCTCCAACAGTAATCTGCTAGCATTCCTGAACTCCTTTTCCCTTGATAGCGGTTTTCTATTAAGGAAATGTACTGATGAAATCTTTCGCCTTTTTCGTCACACTGCACCCAAATTCTCGAGGAAGAAATCCAGATGAGAGTGCATGATATGTATTTTTAAAGACATATTACATCCCAAAGCTCTGTATGAAATTATAAGCTCATTGATTAAGTCTTTGTAATTTTCCCCTTTATGGTTTCCTAGGAAATTTTTGATAACATTCACAAAACATTTCCAGGCGACTTTTTCGAGATCATTCAGCTTTCCTTCAAAGTTTGTATCTGTCATTAGTTCCCGTATTTGTGGACCAATAAATATACCCTCTTTAATTTTTGCTTCGCTGAGTTTGGGAAATTTCTCTTTCAGGTATCCACTGCCATCTTTAGGTATAGCTTTTACAAAATTTTTCATTAGGCCGAGCTTTATATGCAACGGTGGTAAAAGTATGTCCTCAGGGTTCACTAAAGTATCATTTTTAACATTCTTCTGCCCTGGAGTAAGTGATCCACGCTTGAGCCATACTTTCCTTGTGTAGTGACTTTTTCTGTCTCTGCTGTCCCATTTGCAAATGATTTTGTGTAACCAAGCTGTAGCCCAAGCAAAAGAGCAATGACTTTAAAATCTCCACAAATTTTCCAAACATGTTCACTGTATTTAATAAACGAAAATAGTCTAAATAGCATTTTTCAATTAATGGCGTAAATTTTCGACGCTGAGATGTAAAAGTTAATTCTCCACACACATAACAAAAGCTGTCCGGGTTATTAGAATACTTTTGTGGCATATTTACAATGTAACAAACGTAACTTAGTTAAATATAATCGTTATACAGTCGCCTAAATTAAGTTATTCAAACAACAACAAGTAAATGGAGAAGATAAGATCAGAAAAGAATATATGGCTGTAACAAAAAAAAACTGGATGTGACTAAAACAAAATATTATTATTTTTTGAATGAGGGAACATCAAAATAAATAAAAATCATCACAAAGTTCGTGTGACAAAAACAGTGTTGACCGGTGTTATTTTTTCTTTTTTATTTTGCGTATCTCTCGCAGTTAGTTACAGCATCTGAGTAAACATTTTTGTTTTCTTTTCTCAAAATACCGTAAATGTGATCAAGTTTTTAAAGTTATAGTAATTTTAATTTATAAATAAAACTGTTATAATCATTTTTATTTTATTTTCGTTATTTTAAATGAATATTATGGTTGTATGGTTTATAAGAGATTGAAATGAACGTAATCATTTAGGTAATCTATGATGATTTATCTAAGTTATGTCGTGGTATCGTAGTCACCAATAGTTTAATCTTCTCTTATAAATCTTTAATGAAAATTATTCTATATTAGTAGTTTGTAATGTAAGGCGACTCCCCACTCGATACAGTGTCGACCTCAAATGTATTGCAGGGAGTCAGTAGACGCAGATAGCTCAGGACTGTTCCTCGTGGCAGTCTATCCCTAACTACTAACGATTCTTTCCCCCCTAAAAGTACTTAGACATTAGAATAGCCAGAAATAGCTAAATAATAAATACCTATTCTATTTCCAGGATCTACAATCGTATTTAGATGCATCGAAGCATGGAGTCATATATATTAGTTTTGGTACAAACGTAAACCCATCAATGTTGCCAAAGGAAAAAATGCAAATGTTAATAAATGTGTTGTCACGTCTACCTTATGACGTATTATGGAAGTGGGATAAAGATGAAATGCCTAATCAACCTCAAAACATCAAAACTTTCAAATGGTTACCGCAGTCAGATCTTCTTAGTAAGTATTAATTTAATAACACCTCGCTTTTTTTATAAAACAGGGGACAAACGAGCTTGCGGCTCAACTGATGGTATGTGAATACCGCCGCTATGATCACCCACAACACCACCATAACATATGATGTTGTATCGGTTCGGAAATATTGCTGCAGAAAGTTGATTCCAAAGATTGGTTGTTCGTGGATTAAAGTGCTTTGAAAACGCACGGTGGAAGACCGCCACTCACCCAGATCCAATTGTTTGCAAGATTGTCGATGTAAATCAATCGTAAAAAGAAATTAAATATTTACTTTTTATAATATTATTATGACAAAAATTACTGAGAGATGAAATTTAATCACGATAGTAGTATACAGTACACAGAAATAGGCAACATTTATTTTCACATAGTAAAAATGTACAATTTTAGACAGTTTAGATAGGAACGTTAGCAGAAAGTGCGCGCTATTGCCACAATAAAAAAAAGAGAATTAAAAGTTGTATTGGGTTGCCAGTAGTTGCAATGAAAAAATGGAATCATATAGGTAACGGAACGGTAGGCAATTTATTCCGACCGTCCATTTGAAGGAGTAATCAAGAGTTTCTGGAATCGGGGTGTATGTAGGCGGCATGTATGAGTAATAATATAATATTATGATAGAGGCCTTTTTTACTAAATTCTCTTTGCCTACGATCTAAGAGAAATATGATCAAAAAGAGTATCAGATGGCATATAATTAGCTTGGCAGATTGGATTGGAAGGTGGATAAAGACAGTATTAAAATGAAGGTTTGATGAAAGGTATAGAGCACCAGTCAGGTAATTTGATGATATTTCTACTTGATAAAATAATAAATTTGAAGGGAGGGGCATGGAGTGTAAAAGATGCATCAAAAGAGCCTGGATGTTTTCTCCCACAAACGCTCAGATTATGGAATGAGCCCCCTATTGAGTTTTTCCTAAGAGATTACAGCTAGGGTTTTAAAAAAAAGGGGTAAATAGGTTTCATTAGAGTTGGCAATGCGCGCGTAATACCTCTGACATTGCAGCCGTTTATAGGCTAGGGTAACCGCTTACTATCAGGCGTGCCGTATGCTTGTTTACCACCTTAATATATATATATATATATTTATAAAACCAACTATCCAGTTTGCCAGCAACATAAGTAGAGTGTAGAAATTTAGTTAAAATATCTGATGATATTGCAACTTATGCTTATGCAGTAAGTTTGATATTGGAATAAAATGAAAGGGTAAAGTTGGGATATGAGATAAAATGAAAGGGTACAGGGTCATAACTTCGTAACTTTTAGGAACATCAATGCTAGAGAGACATCACCATTTTCTTAAAGGCAAACCGTCAGATAGTTTTCAATTTCGAATCGACTTAAAAGAAGGTAGTTCTCAATTCAGTTGCATTTTTTTAAGCTATTTAACTCCGCCAGTTATAAACTAATTTGGAAAAGTATTTTTTTTTTAACTTTAGATACTTAAAAGTTTAGATACTTTAATCTTTAAAAGGAGACAAATGTGCAGACTGGTCTCATAGAATTATTTTTTAAAATCGATTCATTTGTTTAGTTTTCAAGTAAAAATTACTGATTTTGTCACAATTGAAGTGATATTTTTTTCTTTTTGGTTTTTTTTTATACAACTTAGAATGGCAAACAAGCTGACGGTCCACCCGATGGAAAGTGGTAACCGTCGCCTATAGACATGAGCAGTACCATGGACATAACAGAGTATACTGTTTCGCCCATGATACCCCCCATGCGTTGTCATTCCTGAGGACTCGGATGTTATTCCTCTGTACCCTGTAAATTCACGCCATATCCCACCCTTCAAACCGAAACACTGCCATGCAAACGCAACTGCTGTAAAACAATATTAATAATTTATTTAATAAAAATATGCAGATGCAATTACAAGATACATGTACATTATATATTGATTCACAGTAAGTGTCTCTGACCTCCATGTTCAGAAAATTCTGTGTTATGAAGGTCAGGCTACCGTACTTTACATAATTAAATTTCTTATATAAATTTAAGGAATTACAGAAAATATACAAATAAAGGTTAAACTACAAATGATAAATATTATTTAAATATATAGATAACAATAATAATAACAACAATATTAGTTTTGAGATAATAAATTTACTGCCCTTATATATGTGAATTAGGCCATGTCTATGAGTCATCTATGAGTACATGAGCTACTTGCATTTTGAAGAAAAAAAGTAAAAAGAAAAATAGGATATATGTGTATGTAAAGTTGTAATATGTGTAGTTTTTTTTAATGGGTAAAAATGACAAGGTAACCCTCCTGCGCTATCAATATACACCGGTGGGGTACAATTGAGAAGTAATAGGTGAAGATGAAAAGGCAGGCCAGTTAGTCAACGAATTCAACGATAAATTAGTCACAATAGTTTCCAGGGGAAACCATGTGGAGGTCGACCTGATAGGGTATATTGAGAACAATGGGAACTAACCTCTCTATTACTAACAATCCCTTCCCCCCGAAATTCGTAGTTTATAGACAAATGTATGAGTGTGGTGTGTAGATAAAGTGTATGTATTAAAAAATATGTTTTATAATAATATTAGCTGACTCGGTAAACATTGTTTTACCATATACATTATTTCTAGAACTATACATGAAAATATATCGTATTACAATTATGTTATTATATTCGATTGTCATCTTGCAACCTTATTGCGGCATATAAAAATTACGATTAAACAAAAGGGGTTGATCGCAAAAGCGTGAAAATTAGAATTTGTATGTATTTTTCAATGTTAAATCATAATAAAATTAAAATAAAAAAAATTGTCAAATAAATTAAAAAACAAAAATTTTGGGGTGGGTCACCCCTATCATTGGGGGTTATGAAAAATAGATGTTGGCCGATTCTCAGCCCTACAGAATATGCACACAAAATTTCATGAAAATCGGTAAAGCCGTTTCGGAGGACTGTGGTAACAAACACCGCGACACAAGAATTTTATATATTAGATATATTTTTACAGGGCATCCAAATGTACTATTGTTTATAACACAAGGAGGACTGCAGTCAACTGATGAAGCGATTAGTGCCGGTGTGCCGTTAATTGGTATACCAGTGCTTGGAGACCAGTGGTATAATGTGGAGCAATATGAACGACTTAAAATAGGATTGGGACTTCAAATGGAAGAACTCTCTGAGGAAAAAATTAAAAACACCATAGATACTGTCATGAATGATAATAGGTATCACTCTGTTTAGTATTGAGGTATTGGTAGTGTGGTCCCGGCATAGAATAGACCACCCATTTCTTTCCCGTGGGTGTTGTAAAAGGCGACTAAGGGAGGGCGAGGGATGGGCAGCAATGTCCCTATTAAAACATCTCTAAAGCCTAATTGCGGTTGCCAATCCGCCTGACAAGCGTAGCAACTAGTGGGTGTCGTAAAAAGCGACTAAGGGAGGGCGAGGGATGGGCAGCAATGTCCCTATTAAAACATCTCTAAAGCCTAATTGCGGTTGTCAATCCAAAAGCGTAGTTGTTACGCTTGCCAAGCGGAAACTAACAAATTGCCAGAAATTAACAAACCTGTTTACATTGAAACATGATTGCTGTTTTCGAAAATTGTTTCGACTTCATCCGTTAATTTCTCGTTATATATACATATAGATTTATATATATATTTTTAGATATTTTGATACATTTTTTTTAATAATTTAAAATAATCTTTATAATTTTTATTACACGTAGAGGATATAGGAATCCATACAGTCATGTGTTAATAAAAAAAAATGTTTTAGCTATCGAGACAACATCGTCAAACTTCGCTCACTGATGTCCGATCGACCCGAGAGTTCTTTGGAGCGCGCCGTCTGGTGGACAGAACACGTGCTACGACACGGGGGTGCGAAACACCTTCGTTCACCAGCCGCTAACATATCTTGGACAGAGTACTTGGAGCTGGAACTCATTGGATACATATTATTAAGTTTACTGTTCACCATAATTTTAACGATAATTCTAATCAAGTGTACGATGAAGTGTATTTAACTGAGATTTATCACTGATACAGTAATAAAGACAAATGAAAATTGTTGGCTATGGTTTTGTCTATACTAATACTCATGTTTGAGTATCGCCCTTTGCTGTCAAGAGTTTCTAGGCCGCCTTCGTCATATACATATCTTAAAACTGACTTCAGTTATGACAAAATCAGTTATTTTGATTACAAAAATAAATTACTTAATCGATTTTGATAAAATTTCCACGATTCCTGTTTAGTCTATAAGTACATACTTTCAGATAAAAAAAAAACAGTTGATAATTGAATTATGAGGTAACAAACATAAAACTAAATACAACTAAATTAAGAATCTTTTTCTATTTGATGTATCTTTAATATCTATCTATCTTATTTAAGAGCTGCGCTCTCGTCGGTGGAGCTCTTGCCACTCACTACGATTTTCTGCGAGTCACTTCACCTCTTGATATTACATAACACCAATTGTTTCCTTGATCTGCCTGATGTAACTATGTCTTGGTCTCCCTCTTTCCCTCCTTCCTTCTATTTTATCTTCTATTACAATGTTCTTCATCTTTTTCGTGTCGGTTAAAAAACAGTCAAATCGCTTTTGCGCTTAGCAACTCGTTTAGCGATACACTTTTATCTTTATTTATATTTAATTCTAATTTCAATCTTATTAATTATATTTAATTAATTAACATTTGTATAACATGTAACCTCATTACCCTCTTTATCTGGATCAGTTCAATAACAATACGGGTTAATTAAGATAAATATTTGTAGTTAAGAGGATCGGATCGGTAATTAGATTATACTGGTAAATTAATTATATTATAAGTACCACGTAATCATAGCAGTTACCTGATACTCGATATAAAACATGCTGTATATGAAAAATTAAAAAATTAATTTGTCGTTATTTATGTAATATTATTTCTACTATTACTAAAGAGCAGAATGTTATTGCAACCCGGACAAGATCAGAGGGAGACTTTGTACAAAAGTCGATTGCTTGGGTACCTCTGTCCCATTCGTGTTTCAATCGTAAAATAGTTGTGTCTGCATGACTGTGTTTCGATTTGAAGGGCGGGATATGGCAGTGAATTTACAGGGTACAGAGGTATAACACCTTAGTCTTCAGGAATGGCAACACATGGTATCATGGGCGAAACAGTATACTCTGCTCATGGTACTGCTCATGTCTATAGGCGACGGTTACAACTTTTCGTCAGCTTGTCTGTCATTCTAAGCTGCATAAACATTTTTTTTTTAACTGAAGTTAAAAAAAAGAAACTTTTAATTTCGTTTGTTTTTTTTTTATGTTTCATGTTTGTTGTTTCATAACTGCGTAAGCTGGAAACCGACCTGAATTTTTTCCTCTTAAAAAATGCACTTACAAATTAGGTTAAAAGTAGGTAACCACTTCTAGTTAGCGTATTAAGGGAAAACATACGCCAAAGTCCAGGTTACAACTTCAGAAATATAAATGACAAAATTATATTCAATTTAATGTGATAATTTACTTGATATCAGAATAAACATACAGATAGATAAACATATAGAAACAAAGTATAAAAAAATATTTTTTATTGCCCTTTATATTTTTTAAATATCACTCTTTAAAGGACTCGCAAAGGGTCCCGAATTGTCCCGAATCTAGTCGTCTTATCTTAACCAGATTACACCTATGTTTAACTGGTAATTATTACATGAAAATATTATACATTTACGAAACTATTTACAATAAAATATAGACATTACCTAGATACAGTTATTTTATATATATTAAGTTAAAAAAAATGGAATCTGGCAATGTTGTTGATATTACGCCTAAAGAGCATGAAATGGCTGAGATCAAGGAAGTTACACCTGAGCCCTGCCCTTGTATGGCCGGATATATATACCGAGATACTGTTATTGTTATTGCATAAAACCCATCTTGGCTTAATATATGTTATATATATATAAGTTATATCGTGTGATTTTATAATCAACGTATGTTTCCAGGTCCAAATTCCCAATTTTTCTAGTATAAATTGCAACAAAAAATCCAATTTGTAACAATATATACCCTAAAATCCTTTCTTAAATGTATAATAATCTATTTTGACAGAAAAGTTACATATAGTTAATACGAAAAAAAATTAACATTCTAACTTTTCCCCCTTATTCATAAAAACGTCAAATCTCTCATAAACCTATTTTAGTTATTGCGATGTTTTATCTCTTTCTTTTGCGGTAAATTCCAAATTTGAAAAAAATTATCAAAACAGTATCATATTTAAAACAGATTTGTAAAATGGTTTAGTTTTTATTAATAAGGAGGTTAGACTTTCGCATTGCTTGTTTTATGGTGTACAAGGGGTACCAACCATTACATCGTGTTTCACTATCCAAAAAACCTTTTCACGGAACGACGTTTTTATTCAAGAATAGTACGTGAAACGATTGAAATCAACAAACATAAAACGTTCGATCGAGATGACGGTTCTAGCTCACCGCGACCTGGAACGTAGTAATACAAAAAAACATTACATTGATATTGTGCGCAGTCGGTAAATACAACCACAAATTCATTGATATATTCGACATGAAGCTGTCATCGTTCAGGGGGTGCGTGAGCCGTTTGGAATGAACTTGTACTACTTTCTAGTATTTAGTGATATAGTTCATGTTTAGGATGGCTGGGCTGTGTTTCTTGTGTGGTGATAGTTTTATGGTTTAAATTTCTTTTAATGTAAATTATATGTATATAATGTTTACTAATTATTATGTCTTCCACGTGTCAAATTGAAATGTTACGTCTAAATGTTAATCATGTTGTGTACACATGTTTTTGAATTGTAACCTAGCATTAAAACCATAATTACCTATATATAAACCTAACATGGTTAATATTTGTGCCTCATTAAAAATAAAATAAATACATCGAACAAAGATACGATCACTGTTGTATGTAGAAACCCTAAGTATAAAGATACGATTCAACTCAGATAATTATTCAAATCATATGACGTAAATGTATAATGCGAGGGTAGAAGAAAATATTTCTGTGAAAGCGAGGGCGTGATAGCGCTACATCAGTCTACTCGTGACCACGGCCGGTGTAACATGGTCAAAACGTGGAGACAATTCGGATAAATTACTCGTATTATAATTTACCTAAATGATAGCGATAATTGTCGTCTCTTAAAAACGAAGAATATACTAAAATTTTAATTTTTTTTTATTTAATAAATACGAGTAATATTTTCATAATGTAAATAGTTTTAATTTTTATATGTATTTTTTTATATGTAAGTTATTGGAGTCATTGGCGAAAACAAAAAAAAAAAAACAATTTATTTTAAAATTAAACTTAATAAAATATTTAAGATTACAATTGAAACAATGTGTACTTCTGATTGATGTTAGACACAGAATTATTAAGTAAAATATTAATATAATAATAAATATTATTGTGGCTCGAATGTTCGCGGAATCGATACACGTGGCATTCGCTTGCACCAATTTCCTCAGTCATCTCTTGGATAACGCTGACGTTGCATTTAGTTAAGAGACAATACCCAGATATTGTCTAGTTTCTACTATAACAAGTATGTATTATATTTGAGACTTTATTAAAATTTGCACTTTTTATTTTTATTTATATATTAATCAGCCGTTGACTGTCCACTGCTAAACATAGGTCTTTCTCTATAGGGATGTTTTGTCAGTAGCAATCGCAGTTAGGTTTTAGTGATGTTATGAAAGTGATATTGTTGCCCATTTATTGACTATTATGTTTCATTTGTCGCCTGTTACGACCACCATACCATTCTGGGACCATAAGGCAATTTATATTTCAGTTATTTTTTTCTCTTTTCACATTTACACTATTCTTGGCTATTATATGAACATTGGCTACACGAACAGTAAGTTTTAGTTATGTAAATAAATAACAAAACATAGTATTTGTTATTATAGAATGCAATTCATTGCTGTGTTGATTTTCGGTGAAGTCCCTTCAGACACCAAACGCAACTGAATAACAAACATCCAAACATTTTTATGGATTCATCTCAGCCATAAAATTTTATTGGTTCTCACTAGATACAATAAAATTTTGATAATTAAGATTTATGTTGTCAAGTTTAATATATTTTGTATTTAACAAACAGAATATTCATGAATAATGTATATGAAAGTTGGAAAACTGAGATCGTCAAAGTATTTATTGATATCATGTGTAAAGGATAATTTTAGAGCTTGTAATATGAGTAGGAAAGACTGTTTTATTACCTCTGAATGAATTAATGGTTTATTTTCTCTTCACAAAATGTAATATTAAGTAAAGAATACATCCAAGTTGAGATTATAAGCAAAACTGATTTATTTATCTTTTACCCTCATTACACCAAATATCAACTGTCATTAGACATCTCTAATAAATACATAACATACCTTTCTCTCATATTGATTGGTTTACAAAGCAATGATTCTATCTTACAAATCAATAGATACATAATAATATTTTAAAATTGACAATCACAATAATGAAATGCTAATTAGGTATTCCTATAATATCTGGCCATAAATCAGGCGGTGGAATCAATATGGGGGAATCCGGTGTCAATTCTGAATCTGAATCCTTCATGAGTTGACTGTCTAACTCAGATGGGCGACATGTCATGTCTGATGGTCTGGCCAAGATTTGGTCAGTATGGCGGCGATGTAACTCTCCATCTTCCGTTTTCACCCTGTAAGTCGTTGGCCCCTCTATTGTTTCCACAGTGGCTCTGCGCCACTTTTCTCCTGGCCCGTACATGTGTATCAGTACTGGTTGATTCACTGCAAAGGTACGGGTGGGCCGGTGCTGTGCCGCCACTTCACGTTGCTGGTCAGTACGGCTAGGCATCGAATCAGGGTGTAAGACTGACACTGCCGTTCTATATCTCCGCCCATTGAGTAGTTCCGCTGGTGTTTTGTTAGTGGAACTATTAGGAACTGTCCTTAAATAATATAAAACTTTACACAATTTTTGTTGCCATTGTATATTCTGGCTTTCAAGTTTCTTCATTTTATTTTTAAATGTTTGAATTGCACGTTCTATCTGCCCATTCGTTTCTGGGTGGTAAGGTGGGGAATACAAATGTTTAATTCCATTCTTTTTTAAGAAATTATTGAATTCTTCCGAGGTAAATGCGCGTCCATTATCTGAAACTAGTACGTCAGGCAGTCCTTGTGAAGTAAAAATTTTCCTTAGCACCGTTATCACTGTCCCGCTATTCATCGTTGGTACTATTTCGGCTTCAAACCATTTGCTATAGCTATCTACTAGAACTAAAAATGTTTTCCCCTGGAAGGGTCCAGCAAAGTCCACATGTACACGACTCCAGGGTTTCTCTGAAACAATCCAAGATTGAGGGTCCTTTGGTGGTTTATTTCTTACTAATTGGCACTGTTGGCAGGCGGCTACAATATTCTCAATTTGACGATCCATGTCTACCCACCATACATAGCCTCTTGCATACGCTTTCGTCTGGACCATGCCCGCGTGTGGAGCATGTAACAACTTCAAAACCTTTTCCTGCAAGGATGCCGGTATTATTACTCTGTTACACCACAATAAACAGTCATTATTATGTGAAAGAGCTTCTCTTCTTGACCAATAAGCTTGTAAACTTGAATCTGTATTCTTGCGTGGCCAGCCGTGTAAAACATGGAACATTACTTTTTGCAGCACCATATCCTTTTTAGTTTCTTCAGCAATTTTGCCAGCATTTAGCTGCCATCCGCTCAACTGCTCTTCTAACAGAAGCAGATCACCAGACACTTCCTTCTTTACACTGGATGTATCCGTAGCGGTCCATCTGCTTAAAGCATCCGCGTTGCCAATTAATTTCCCAGGTCTGTACTTTAGTTTATAGTCATAGCAAGCGAGTTTAAGTGACCAACGTAACATTCTAGGCGAAATCTGTTCAGGTATAGGCTTTGAAGGATTGAATAACCCTACCAGTGGCTTGTGATCTGTAACTATACAAAATTTACGACCTGCTAAAAATTCGTGAAATTTGGTCAATCCAAATATAATTGCTAGTGCCTCCTTATCAATTTGCCCGTATCGTCTCTCATGAGCTTGCAATGTGCGCGAGGCCATCATTACAGGTCTTTCAGATCCGTCTTTCATCACATGGGCAATAATCGCTCCTACTCCATATTCTGAAGAATCACAGATGAGAAGCAATTCTTTTTGTAAATCATATTCCACCAATGTGAGATCCGATGACAATAAACGTTTTGCCTCATTGAAAGCTTTCTGTTCTTTCTCTCCCCAGCTCCAGGGTCTCTTTGATTCTAATAGTCTATATAATGGCTCTAATATAGTGCTCTTATCAGGTAAAAATTTCTCATAGAAATTGTATAAGCCCAAAAAGGCTCGCAACGTCTCTTTGTTAGTTGGAGCCGGTTTTTCTTGAATTTCCTTTACCTTCGTAGGTGCCGGGTGGAGGCCTTTCGCATCAATCATGTGGCCTAAGAACGTAATGCTGTTCGCCGCAAAAACACACTTTTTTTCATTCAATCGAAATCCCATTTCTTGCAATTTACTTAGCACTTCTCTAAGTCTGTGATTGTGTTCTTCAATGGTGGATCCCGTTACCGCCACATCGTCCAATAAACAGGCGACGCCCTCCATACCTGCAAGCGCCGTTGACATCAGGCGTTGAAAAACAGCTGGCGCCGCATTGACACCGAACGGTAAACGGTTCATTCTCATTAAACCAATTGGAGTGTTGAGTGTTAACAGCATTGCAGTCGCATCATCAACTTTTAGCTGTGTATACGCTTGCTTTAAATCTAATTTACTGAATATTCTACCCCCACTCAACCTTACAAACGCTTCATTTGCTGTTGGAAGGGGGTACGTGTCTGTATCTATCGCGGTGTTTACTGTCACACGATAATCGCCACACATCCGTATTGTCCCGTCATCTTTCATCACTGGTGTCAATGGTGTTGCCCACTTCGAATATCGAATAGGTGTTAGCACGCCCTCTATTACCATCTTATTCAGTTCTTCAATCACTTTCTGTTTGAGTGGGTATGGTACCGCGCGAGCCTTTAAGAAACGCGGCGTGGCGTCTTTCCGTAAGTGTAACGATACTTTAGGGCCCTTGTACTCCCCCAATCCTTCTTTAAATAATTCAGGAAATTCCCTTTTATAAAGTATTATATCCTCTTCCGACCAGCACAAACCAGACACTTGAAGTCCTAGTGTTTGGAACCAATTCCTGCCTAACAGATTTGGACCATTTCCTGACACTACTACAAGTTCACACTGTGCTTCCTTGTTCGCTAATATAACCCGCACATTTGCTACTCCCAACACTTTTATTGGGTCTCTAGTCCACGTCACCAACTTCAAAGTAGTGGCTCTTAACGGTGGAGGTGTCGACCAGAGCTTCTTATATGTCTCCTCCGACATAATGGTCCGTGATGCCCCCGAGTCTACTTCCATTAATAATTTTACACCGTCTATTATGACCTCTGCCGTTATTGGTGGTGTATAATTATCAGTACAAACATAGATCCCCATCATTTCCTCTACTGCCGTATCACCACTTCTGCTACATTTCCCCGTCTCGTTAACCTGGTGCATGCGGCCCAGTTTTTTATCACATGCCGCCGCGATGTGTCCAAACTTCTTACAATAGAAACATTTTGCTTTCCAAAATGGACAACGTTCGCCTGGCTTATGACCGCGTGTACACCGTCGACATTCATTAGATTTTACAATGCCAATGTCCATAGGTTCACAATCGGTGACGTTTAACGGAGTTTGCTTTGATTCGCTAGACGTACTGGCAGGGTACAAATCAGGGAATGTCACTTGATAGTCCAGACATGTTTGTAGTGCAACTTCATAAGTTATTTTCTTCTTTTTCAATAAGTCGCGTCGTAAGCGATCATCCCGCACCCCCAGCACTAGTCGGTCTCTCAACTGGCGTTCCAAGTCTATAAAATTGCACTTAGCTCCGAGCTGGCTGATGGCCGCCACATAGTCCTGTACACTTTCTCCCTGTAACTGTTGTCGTTTGTGAAATTTTCCCGCCTGTAGAATTTCGTTAACTTCTGGTTCGAAAAACCTATCTAGAACCCTCAAAATTTCCACTAAAGGTACTTCTGTAGGCCTTTTTGGAACTAAAAGCGATGCAATTAATGCAAAAGTGTCTTTTCCACATTGAGAAAGGAACAGTGATCGGCCCCTATTGAGGTTATCCTCACCGACGCCCGCCGCGTCGAGCGCGCACATTAACTGTTCCTTATAATCACACCACTTATCAGTCTTTGGGTTGAATTGTCCAGGAAACACAATATTTGAAATAGTTGCTGCCATTTTCACAATAAACAATTTTTATTTACTTCGTCGCCAATAAAGAATACATCCAAGTTGAGATTATAAGCAAAACTGATTTATTTATCTTTTACCCTCATTACACCAAATATCAACTGTCATTAGACATCTCTAATAAATACATAACATTAAGTATCAAGAAGTATTCACCAGAGGAAGACTTTGTACAAAAGTCGTTTGCTTAGGTACCTCTGTCCCATTCGTGTTTCAACCGTAAAGCAGTTGTGTGCATGGCTGTGTTTCGGTTTGAAGGGTGGGATATGGCGTGAATTTACAGGGTACAGAGGAATAACACCTGAGTCCTCAAGAATGGCAACGCGTGGGGGGTATCATGGGCAAAACAGTATACTTTGTTGTGTCCATGGTACTGCTCATGTCTATAGGTGACGGTTACCACTTTCCATCAGGTCGCCGTCAGACTGTTTGCCATTCTAAGTTATATAAAAAAAATCAACTTGAGGTACAACTAAATATGTAAGTTTTGAAAAGACCTGTGTTACAAGGCACTTAGTACTTAGCCTTGAGACTAAGTCGAGAGATTTAGTTCCAATCAGTATTCTAGACAGTGTTTTACATTTTGTTAATAATATCACTGCAGGAAACGTATTATGAGCGCTTAAAACTTGACAGTTACAGATTAAACTGAGCTGTCCTTAATATCGGTACTAAAACATGGCCTAAATATAGCTTGTAGTTACATATTTTTTACTGGACGGAAGTAGTCCAACATTTTTTAAATATTGTAATAAACATCCTTAGATTATATAGACAGACCAAAGTTACGTCAAAAATAGATACATTTTTCTATCCATGTATGTATATTAATTTCGTTTTCGTGATAGAATCCGAAACGAGGTTATTCGCAAAAGAACCAAAATAGCCGACGTAGCCTGAAGTGGCAATGGGCTGGTCACATATCTCGAAGAACCGACAACCGATGGGGAAGAAAGGTTCTTAAGTGGCGACCGCGTACGGGCAAACACAGTGTAGAACGACACCCACTAGATGGAGTGACGACCTAAAATGCATTGCAGGGAGTCAGTGGATGCAGGTGGCTCAGAACCGTTCTTTATGGCAGTCTAATGAAATGATGATGATGATACTAATTTATATGCAATGCATTATGCATGTATATTAAATCAGAAAAAAATAGTTTTCTGTTCAAATTAAAAAAAAATCGAACTGCTCTAGGAAATTTTTGATCCTTTAAGTTTTGCAAATAAATTAAACAAAATAATTGTAATCAAGTAATTCTTCTTTTATTCGTCCTCTATAAATAGCCAAATCAACGCAATATTCCCGTTTCGATTTTTGTCACTACATCGTCATAAGGAAGAAACAAATATTTTTATTCGAGTAAACTTAGATTTTCAAATAGTCATTTTTTAAATTGCGGTAGATTAAAAAAAATGTAATGACTTTTCAAAAGTGCTTCAATGTAAGTTTATTTGAATAAATGATTTCTATTCTATTCTATTCTTTCAGCAACATATATGTGAAAACCGTATCTAATTTTGTAGTTTTTGCGTGATGATGGAACAAACATACAGACAGAAAATTAAATTTCTAAACAGCATTGTTTTTATGTCTATTGGACTTAATAAATATATTTTCTATTTATAAATATCGTCCAGTCAAAATTTTATTATATTAATCAATAAAATCAATTTATATTTTAATATAAGTAAAATTAATCTATATTTAACAAAAAACATTGCTTAATTATGTATGTTTACTTTTATTTTTCTCTGTGTGCAATAAAGAATATAAACCGGTACTAAAAATAAAAGTGGACCAAGTAAAAACCCCTGAGGCACTCCTATATTTATAGATGCTTATGAATTGAAATTTTGTGCAGTGAATAGTGAAAAAAAAGGTTTTCCCTCAATAAACTCAATAACACAAGGATGATAGGAGACGAGAATTATTATTCAGAGCCTTTTGTGGAAACTATAACTTTTACTACCCCTTTTTATATCCTCTTTCCTCTTTTCACATCAAGAGTATTTTTATTACATTAGATTTACACAGGCGTTTTTTTTTACAAATTATATTTACAAATATTTAGCCTTTGTAATATATAATCTAAAAGTTGTTTATTAGTTTAACTATTATTTAAAAATTTGTATAGAAATTTTTCAATTAATCACATAAGAGACATAGAGATCTGAACGATTTTTGGTTCAGATTTTAAATTAAAAGCATTAAGCATGTTTGTTGGGAGATTTATGATTATAAATGTTTCAAAGTATCCACATTTAAATAATTAATTCATTAAAATAATTAAATAAATTTTATTGAAATCAAAGCAATCTCAAAAGTCAATATTTTAAAGTCGGTTTAAAAAAAAACATAGCATGTGCATTTTATTGGCAGAAAATTAAAATTATTCATTTATGAAGTTTCAAACTACGCGAGGGTGCGACTTCCGTTCATTTCCAGCTTTTAAAAGCTTACGTTAAAAATTTTTCATTTGGCAAAAACGTGTTTCCAATAGAATATGAAAAATTCATATTTAATTTTTATTCAGTTAAACTTGTTTGAGTTATAACTTTTATGTCAATTTGTGATTTTAAAGCGAAATTTCCTCAATTTATTTAATTAAAATATAAAAAATAAGTTTATGACTGTAATTTTAGGGTTGTGAGAAGTGAGCTAAGGTGAACATAAGTTTCAGCATATCAATATTTTGTTGAAAAGTTATTTAAATAGAATAATTTTGTTTAATTCCGGTAGCATTAGTATGTGTGACGGTCAACACTCCAAGATTTACCACCACTATTACTATCAGAAGTTCTACAACATTCCATATTGGCCATCAATCTCTGACTACCATTTTGTTCGTGCATCTATTGCGATATGTTTTTTACCTCTAAACGAGGTATCTTCAGGCAAATTATTTGATCGCTGCTCAAATAATTTGCCTAGTGAAAGCCTAGTGTTAACCGTTCACCGCCTGCAAACAGAAATTGTCTAAATTTAGATCGTATTGTCGTATTTATACATTTTTAGCAGGGCGAAAGGCATTATTCTGCAATGACTCATTGCGAGAATTTGATAATAGTTATTGCTACTATATTTATCGAAGAAAAAGTAGTAGTTGGTGGTATAGTTAAAGAGAGAGCGTGGCCAAAAATCTTGACCTGATGATAAGTGACTACCGGTATCCATGAACACCTGTATTACCAGAAGAATTGCGAGTCTACTGTCAGCCTTTTGAGAAATTCTTGAAAAGAAAAGAGCATATTCTTAGAAAGGCTTCAGAATATTGCTTTTGGAAGTCGATTCCAAAATGTGAAAATGAATATTGGTATTAATATTTTCCGATTTATGGCAATACAAGCTTTACTTTGATCGCAATATTTATTATTAATGTTACTGAGAATGCATTATTTTATCATTCCTTTCATCACAGTGAATATACGAAGTTTGCTTTTAGTTTTTCATTAACATTAATCAATTTAATCATGAACCCACAACGTTTCATTTTTGGATACAATCCTTTTTACTGGTCGTGATTTTCAACTATTCCTCTGCAGTCCCCATCCAATCTTATAACAAAGTTAAAACACTGCTACTTTATTAGAGTTTACCAAAACACATGTTCCTAGAAAACATCACACTAGAAACTTTGTCTCAAGTTTGAGAACAACATGATGTTATTAACAGACGGAAGATTCTATTTCGAGTCCATTTACTTTAATGTTCCTTATCTCCATAGCACAAGATCCAATATCGATAGTAGGCCTTTTGGAAGGTATTTGATAATATTACGCCATGTGGTACTGATGTATAAATATGGAGCCGTATATTGATGTAGGTTTATTCTTATTATATTGGAAATATTAACTGAGCGGGTTGTATAATGTGAAAGATATTATTACGATGTATTGTGTGTCAAATATGATACTACCAATCTTATGGTGAACTCACATAAATGTCTGTTATTAAGATTTTGTTATAAACGATTCGCAAAATGGCAAAAAGGCATTACTGATACTTGAGAATTTCTATTATTTTCTGTGATCTAAATAATTTATTTAATTATTATTAAATAATTAATTTTTGTAAACTTGAGAACTGCTGGCAAAACCTCTTAATGGCAAAGACGAAGACTTCCACAATATATTTTAAGTCGGCACTTCATCTAGTGATGGTTGTATTACACTACGTTTGCTTATATGAGGTCACCATTCAAGAACCTTTTTTCCACACCAGTTATCGTTTCTTCGAGCTATGTAACCAGCCCATTGTCACTTCAGTTTGCTTATCATTCGGGCTATATTTGTCACTATATTTTTTTTTTGTGGATATCCGATCATATTCGGATACTGTCACGCAAAGATACTCCGAGTGTAGCTTTCTCGATAACTCACTGATTAATTTAAAGTTTTTTCATACGAGCAATTGTGTAGAATTATAAAAATTACAACATACGTAAAAAAAATTAAGACGATGTTTACGTTGGTAATTTTAACTTTACATCTCTCTAATTGTGTCAAAGCTGTTAAGTTAAACTCAATTACTTAAGTTTGCGACTTGAAGAGTTAATTAATGAATACTGTTAGTTATGTCGGAGTTTCTTTAGCCAAGACCATCAGAATAAGTCAAAGACGCAGAATACTTTCTTGTTGAACGTTTTTAATTATTTTTATTGTGTATTTAATAATGTTATGTACCAGACAGATTTCCTTTTGTCTGTTGCTCGAAGAAGATTATTATTTTGATTAATATCAGAAAGAAATAAATAAAACAATATTTATTTTATGCTAAAAGCATTTTCAATATTCTTTCATTTCAATTAATTTCGTTTGCTGTCCACTGTTGAACATAGGTCTTCTTCATAAGAAGGATTTTGCCAATAGTTGCCACGCCAGACGGGTTGGCAACCACAATTAGGCTTTGGTGATGTTGAATTTGGTGAAGTTGCTGCTCATTCCTCGACCATTCAGTTCCCTTAAACACTACTCACACTTATTTAG